GGAACCAGCAAGCCACCCCACCCCTGGCACATGCCCACAGCTTGGCTTTGGGGCGGGGGTGCCTGCAGGTCCCCACAGTGCCCACGTGGGCCCTTCCTGCTGGCGCTTAGCTAGATGAGAATGTCTACCCATTCTGTGTATGTTTTCTCTGAGGCCCTGCCTAATCTAGGTATTGGGGGGCAGGGGGTGGCGGTGGACATGGCACTGACCTCAGAGCAGACAGACCTGGTTCAGGCTCCCGCTGTGCTCCTTACCAGCCCTGGGACTTCAGCCTGCCACACACTCCACTTCTTCATGTGTGAAGTGCACAGCCCCACCTCAGAGGGCATCGCGGGGACTGAGCGAGGTGGAGCCTGGGCCGGCAGGGTGCTCCATGCACATCGGCTGCAGCAAAGGCAGCTGCCACCACCTCTGCTCAGGGCCCCCCAGGTTTACAACAAGACACTTGGGTGTTTCTGCTGCAAACTACTACTGGCTGGGGATTTTATAAGAATGTGTTCATCACGTGTATGTCCCTTCAAGGTTCTGCAGTGTTTGTGTGTGCGACTCATTCAGCTAAATAGATAACTTGCATTTTTCAGATTTCGCATTTCTCCACGGTTACAGATGAGGCTTGACTGCTTCTCTGCCCTCCTTCCCGGGACTCCATTTCCACCGCAAGATCCTAACTGAAGCATTAACACAACATTAACAGATACAACATATTTCAGGATTTCAGCCAAATACCAAGCATGAGTAAGAATAATTAAGTTTCCTCCAGGTGGCTGCATTAGCTAATTTGCATCTCTTTTTAAGTTTTCGTCTTTTTTAATCTCATTTTTGATTAGGACCATTTTTCACTAGTGGGACCTTAAAAAAACATTTTACACAAATGTAAATTTTGTAAGAAACAAGTCAGATATTACCCTTGGTAAAACTGCTTGGTGGGTGTGTGGGGTGGGGAGATGGATTGAGATTGATTCCCGGCACACAGTTTAGGTTCTTAGTAAAAGCCCCCCACAAACCTGGGTAGGTACCAAAGAGAAGTGTATATCCCCCACCCAAAGACGGAAGATTGTGCATCGCAGCTCCATTCATTATTGCCAAACTCTGGAAGCAAACCAGATACTCACAGAAGAACAAGAAAAGCTAAATACTGCATGATTCCATCCGCATGAAGTGTAAAAAGAGGCGACACTAATCTCTGGTGATGGGAGGAGGGTAGTGTTACCGCTGGGTGCAGGGGGGCCGCTGACTGAGAAGGGGCACCTTGAGCCTCCAGGGAATTGGGAATGGTCTGTATGTTGAAACCAGCCCTGGCAGTAGTAATTACACCACGGACATTATCAAATGCAAATCACTCCCTACCATAAAGCCTAAATAGAGCTAAGACGACGTTTGCCAATTTACCATTGATTTATAGAAATGTAAAAAACATTTGAGTTCATTTAAGATCTGTGCACTAACTGTGTACACATTTTACATTAAACATCAGTATGCACTAGGCTTTCCATAGACTACCTACAGCCAGTCTCCCTTTGCACCACTGCACTCTGTGTGCTCCCCGGGTGGCAGCACGCTCAGCTGCACTCATCATCAGCGCCCGTTCCTTCCTCCTCAGCACCAGTCACCCTCAAGCATCTGAAGGGCACTATGGGGCATCCCAAAGCCATGTCCAAACTCCTGCAGGCAATTGCCTGGGCCTTCCTCTCCCCAGTCCTTCCTCCACCCAGCTGTCTTCTCAGCGCTTATCCCTGCAAGGCCTGACCTTGGCCCACCCTACCCAAAGAACATTCATTCCCATTCACTACTCTCTTCCCCAGAACCTAAAACAGGGCCCAATCACTGCTTGTTCACTGAATGAATGATTCTTGCCACAAACTTCCTGGGCCTTTTCTGCCCCAATACCACATGGATGACACTGCCCGGTGCCTAAGCTGGAAATATGCTACCCTTGAATTTTCCCTGTTCCTCCTCCTGTCTCCCAATGTGTCAATCACAGGTCTGGCAAATCCTACCCCTGAATGGTTACTGCCCCTTCCCAGGTCACCTCCCCATCCTGGACCACAACTGGACCAGCCTCCTCTCTCCCTGGCTCCTCAGGCCATTCTCCACCCTGCGGCCTGTGGGCAGGCTGCCCCTCCAGCATTTAAGCCACAGGCAGCAGGTCACAGTGCTGTCGTCCAGACCTTCTGCCTTGGGCCTGGGTCTGCACACCCTCTGGGCCCCTCTTAGGCTGCAGTTCCTCAGGAAACCTTCCTCCTCCTGTAGGATCCCCGCCCAGTTCAGGCTGTAACAGCGTTTCTCACACTGGATTGGGACTGCGGGGGGGGGGTGTCGCCGTGTCTTCATGTGGCCTGCAGGGTGGAAATACTTGTCGCCAGGGCCAAACACATCCTGGCCCCCGGCACATCTCTCAGAATAATGGAAACTGACCTCCCTCCCCGCCTGCTGCCTCACCTATAAAATAGAGAGCGACATCCCATGACTATGTTGGGGACTGAATAAGACTTTTCTAAAGCAGTATGGGCGGGCCTCGTGGGTGCTAAGTAAATGGGAGCTTAAAAAGCAAAAACTGCGGAGAGCGCAGCTGTCCCTCGCAAACTGCCGGACGCCGCCGGACTCGCCCACAAGCGGCGGAGTTTGTGCAATGTCTTCAGGCCATCCTCGGCCAAGGCCTAGCACACGACCGCGCTGCGCTCCGAAAACAGAAACTAGAACACCGGCAGCGGCGCGGCGGGGCCAGGGACTCCCTCGAAGGGTCCGGGCGCCCAGTTTCCATCGGGAGCTGTTCCGGGTCAAGGGGATCCGGGGTGCCGAGGTTCGGGGCCTCCAGGTTCCGGGGTCCTGAGGTTCCGGGATGCCGAGGTTCCGGTACCCAGTATCAGCCACCCTAGAGAATCTCCAGCGGGGGACCCGGACCCACGCCTCCGTGCTCGAGGCCCCGCCCCAGACGCTCCGCGCCGAAATTCATTGGCCGGCGGCCTGCCCGTCCTGCCCACGTGATGCGGCACGTGACGCGCCCCGGAAGTCGCGCGCAGCAGCAGCAGCGGCGGCGGCGGCGGCGGCGGCGGCGGCGGCGGCGGCGGCGGCGGGATGTTCACCGCGGGCGCGGAGAGTCTGCTCCAGCAGGCCAGGTGCGGGAACGCTGCGGCCTGGCTTCACTCCCGCACGTCTCCCTAAGGGCGCGGGGGTGGGTCTGAGGGCTGGACCCGGCCGTCGGCGACTTGCGGGAGCCCGACTGGACCCGCCCAGAGACGGCGGGACGCCGGCCAGGCATGGGGTGCGGAGGTCGGGGGAGCGCCCAGCTGGGTCCCTGAGGGCGTGACGCCTGCGCAGGGCTTTGGAGGAGGAGTGGAAGGAAGTGGGGTGGGACCCAGCTGACAGTCTGGCCAAAGGCCTGGTGACAACCCCACGTCTGGCGGGAAGTAGGGTAGCCAGGAGCTGTTACTTGGTTTGGAGTCAGCACAGAGTCACAAAGGCTGGAGAGCTTGTTGGCACTTAAGCTGTGTGCCAAGCCATGGAGCTGAATACCATCCCGAGGGTTTGGGGGAGCTCTGGGAGGATTTTGACATTTGGAAAGATCGCTCTCGCGCGGATTCACTGGCTAGGCTGAGATATTACCCACCACCTTCTGTTTCCGGGCTGTTCCCGGACTCCCAGTAACTAGCCAGTCATGGGAGAAAGCAGAGTGTAGGCCCCACAGTTCACCAGACAGTCTAAGACTTGATAGTGTCTGTTTTAAAGAAGAGAATGCAGCCAGAACCACAAGCCCTTGGTAAACTGAAAAACAAATCAACCCACCTGGATTCAGAGCTGGACCAATTGATGGGAAAGACTAGGATGGTTGAGTTGCCGTAATTATAGTGAGCAAGGTCTTGAATGCAGATTAAGTTCTAAAGTCTATGGACAGGACAAAAATCTCTGATCAAAATAACTGTTGAGGCTGGGCACGGTGGCTCACACCTGTAATCCCAGCACTTGGGGAGGCTGAGGCTAAGAGGATTGCTTGAGCCCAGGAGTTTGAGACCCGCCTGGCAACATAGCAAGATCCTGTCTCTACAAAAAAAAAAAAAAAGTGATAATAATAACCCTTGAAAATCTCTTAGTAAAGTGCTTGGTGGGTGTGCAGCACCATCTCCCGGTAAGCCCTTCAATACCAGACAGATGTATGGTTTATTTTAATTTAGGGACTGTATTAAATGAAAAATACTGGCATTCACTGAACGTGCAGCATGCTCACCCAAAGTGCTTGCCAAGAGACAAGTAAAAACGAATCCACTGAAACTTCATTCCCCGCTCACATTCTAGTCAAGCTTGTGTAATGAAAGGCAAAAGAAATAGCCCTCACTACTTAAATTTCTGTTTTTCCGTCTCTGTCTTGGGTGGGTGGGCATGTTGAGAATAGAGTGTGTTTGTCTTTGCCTATGTAAAATGCATGAGTTATACAGGTCCTCTCTGTTTGGGTTTCTAGAAAGTTAATAACTTATTAGTTGGGGCTTACTAGTTTTCACAACATACTTTATTTAAGCAAGTGATTTCTGGTGGCATTTTAAAATAAACAGCTATGGGATGGGTGTGGTGGCTCACACCTACAATCATAGTACTTTGGAAGTCCAAGACAGGAGGATCACTTGAGGCTAGGAGTTTGAGACCAGCCTGGAAAACATAGTGAGACCCTGTCTCTATAAAAAATTAAAAATTACTCAGGAGCCTGAGGTGGGAGGATCACTTGAGGCCAGGAGTGATCACACCACTGCACTCTACCCTGGGCAATAGAGCGAGATCCTGTCTCTAATAAAATAAAATAAACAGCTACAGTTTGAGAGCTAGGACTTGGAGTGAACTTTAGTTTCTCTAAATATAGCAGAGATATGGAAAGCGAGGGTGGAAAAAGGTATCAAAAACATCCTATAAGCTGAAGGGTAGATGGCAAAAACGGGACGCGGACACGGGTCGGGGGTGTGGAGGGAGAGCACAACGAGCTCAGGAGGGGTCCTGGAGGAAGAGGCAACTGCTTTGAAGCTCGGGGAAGGAGTGGGGAGTGTTTGGGGTGGGGGGTCCACGCAAAGGGGCAGAAGCAAGAGAAACAGGACTTGATGGCTGGAGAAGGAAGGAGCAGCCGGGGCCAGGTAAGCGATGTTAGGGTCCGTAGGGGTCTGGATTTGAAAGCAGTGGGGAGCTATTGAAGGGTTTGGCCTTTTAGAAAGAAGCCTGCAGTCGGGAGGATCTGCTGCAGGGAAGTCAGTTGGGATGAGGAGAGATTCTGGAAAGATTCCCATTACGATCGCAAGACGAATGGGTAGCTTCTTCCTCAGTCTCGTTTGGTGATTGTGGTTTCAACATCATTACCTTAGTTAGTCCTAGACCAGTCCTGTGTCCCTCTCTCCTTTCCTCACCGTGTGTGCCTGCTCTGTTGTCCGTAGGTGTCGGAACGTGGTTCTGGCCAGCTTAAGTAAGCCAGTGGAAACGAGGGGCACGGGAGGTGAGCAATTCATTGGCGTTTATCTGACAGCTCAAGGAAGAGCAGGAAATGGGGGACTGCCCAGGACCTCAGCCCTAGACATTCATCAGACCTTCTCAGCCCAGATGCTGGGACTCTCCGTCTCGCCCTCACGATCCCAGATTCCCGGCTCCAGCACTCCGATTTAGTATGCCAAGTGGGGGCTTTGGCCACAGCTCAGGGAGTGGCAGGTGGCAGCCTCGTGGGGGGCTTCTCAGAGAGCCCCAGCTCAGCAGCTCCTTCATAGTTTACCTTTTTTTGCCTTTTAGACTGGCATAGAAACCTAAAAACAGGTTTCCATTTTGAGACTTTGTTAAATATCTTATCCGTGGCCAATGCTCGATAGAGAGATTTTTAAATTAAGCCAATGAGGTATTAGAGTAAGAAATTGTCTTACCATATGTCAGAACATTTGCTCTTTAATATATAAGGTTCAACTGTTGTTCCCAGGAGTGAAAGGCTCACTGTTTTGAAAAGCAACCGTGGACTAAATTTCCCGCTTTTAAATGAGGATCCTAGAAACAATCAGTTTTAGTTCTTCTACCCCTGGAATAACTGACACGAATGCACGGCGTCTCCTTCAGTGCCGTTTGCCGGAGTGTGTTACGGCAGTGGCGGATTGCCACGTCCCGGGCAGAGAGGAACCAGTCTGGGTCACTGGCGAGTTGACCTCGAGAGGCGTTGTGGGTGGCGGGATCACAGTGTCCCCACACACCCGGCTTTCTCTTTGCTAAAGTGGGATTTTCCCCCCGGCCCAAGGGTCATTCTGTTGTGGCTGAGAGCAGCGCGTGTGTCCCGTCGTCCTCGTCTTTGTTTAGGGAGATCCAGGCCGAGGAGCTGAGGAAGTTCTGCTCCCGGGTCAGCAAGCTGCTGCGGGAGGAAGACTTGGGGCCCGACGCTGTCGACTGTCTGCGGAGGCTTTTCCTCATTGTCTCGGCCACCAAGTATAACCGGAGGTGAGTGTGGTCACCGCGTGGGCCCAGCTCCTGACATGGCGGCTTTAGGAGAACCTTGTCCATGCCCGGCAGTTGCACAGACGCTCCTTGGGGTGTTGAGTCCTGTGTGCACTTAAACCGGGGCTGAAGGCCCTCACATATACAATGCTCTGTCCAGGCCACAGGGAGCCGGGCCAGCTTCTCTGGGGTGCTGGGTGCTCTTGCCTTGGGCATGATGTGTCACCGCCACTGGGGTCTCGCCTTCCAGGCTGGACAAGACATGCGTGGACCTGCTACAGGCCACCCTCTGCCTGCCCGTGTGCCCCGAGCCACTCCAGGTTCTCTGTGCCGCCATCCTGAGAGAGATGTCACCCTCCGACAGCTTGACCCTGTCCTGCGACCACACCCAGAGCACCCGACAGCTGAGCCTGGTGGCCTCTGTGCTCTTGGCCCAGGTAACGCGATCGTCACTGCTCCAGTTGGCCCTGGGCCTCGTGAGCACCCCCGCTGGCCTGCGTCCCATGAGTGCGCCAGTACTGCATGGCCCGCTCGGCTCGGGTTCCTGTTCCGTTCGACAGTTTTATCACTGTCTCAGGTGTGCCGGGACACCCAGCACTCGGAATTATCTAGAACAAGCAGACATCTGCCTGCTCCTGCACCCCCTTTCCTGTCTTTCCCAGGTCCTTGGGAGTAGCCATCCAGCACTCTTGACCCAGTCAGGCCACAGGGTCTGGGCTGCTCTGGTGACATTCTTGGACATTCAGGGGTGGCATCACCTAGGCTAATAGAGCAGCAGCCTTCAGAACCCCAGAGTCCCTGTTCCAGGTGTTCAGATGTTCTCAGACCAAATGACTTGCTGCATGAGGAGCTCAGCAGAGAAAGTGGGTTTTAATTTATAGGAGACCGCCTGGGACAAGGAAGCCAGAGAGGAAGGTGGGCCTCCCACGCCCGTTCTAAAGCGCCAGCCACACTGTACCTGTCCCGCCTGCGGGTACTTCCCCGAAGGGCCGGGGGCAGCCTTGCCATCTAGTGGCCAAAGCCCCTGGGTGCACGTGTAGAAAGAACAGCACGACGGAGCCCGGCTTCTGTCTCCACAGCCCTGTCATCAACAACTGACAGATCCCAGACATCATGACATTTCTACCGACTTAGCAGCATTTCTCTTGAAGAGAAGGACTTGCCTTTCTTCCCTGGCAGTGTGTCTGTGCAGGAGAGGGGTCGGGTTCGGTGATCCCCCCGGCCTGGACCCAGCTGACTGCGCCCGGGCAGGGTGGCCATCCCTCTGCCCTTCCTCCCGGGAGGGGCTCTCGGGCAGATCCAGGCTGAGAGTCTCTGCCAAGTTGGCCACCTGGTGGCCATGAGGACTGCTGCAGACTCCCAAAACAGGAGAGAGCTGGTCTCGAGGGGCACTGGGGCAGGTCAGCTCTCAGCACCTGGCCTGTGTTTGCTCTGCAGGACGACAGAACAGAGGAGGTCAGAACCGTGGCCCAGCACATCCTGAGAGCCCTGGAGAGCCGGCAGCCCGAGGGGCCCAGTCTCAGGCACCTCCTCCCCGTCATATCAAAGGTCGTGGGCCTCAGCCCAGGTGTCCTCCAGGAGGGTACGTGGGCCCTTAGGTGGGGTGCGTGGGACAGGCAGGCAGGGGCCTGGGAGCTCTGCATGGAAGAGGACGAGGGGCCCTGTGGGAGCAGCTGCCTGCTTTCTGGGAAAGCTCTACAGGCATCAGGTGGGGCCGGGGCGTCTGCAGGGTTTAGCCATTTCCGTCCACGTGATCCCCGCCCCCTCTGCAGACCAGACCACCCTGCTCAGCAAGAGGCTCACTGACTGGCTCCGCTACGCCAGCGTCCAGCAAGGGCTCCCGCACTCCAGCGGCTTCTTCTCCACGGCCAGAGCCCGGCAGGTGAGGCCAGAGCTGTTCTTGGACCTCAGGGGACTCAGGATCCCAAAATCTCCCTCCCCCACGTAGGTCTGTGCCCACCATGGCCAGCCCTGCCTCCACTTGGGGGCTTGGGCCAGCAGGGTCACAGCCCCCAGCCCGTGTGGCTCTGGCTCTGTGTGTGGTTGACACAAGGCCCTGCGGAGGAGGGTGTGGGAGGCCTGGGGTTACCACAGCTTTTCTGCACCCACAGAGGGCGGGCTGCTGCCTGGTGCAGAGGGGCATCGGTGGGGTGGGGCCTCACAGATCTCACGCTCACGTCCCCGGGCTGTGCTCTTAGCTCAGGCTCTCGCGAGGTTTCTCCTCTGCCCTCCTGAGTAGCTAGAGAGCTTCCTCCCGGCCTCAGTCCCGTCCGCCCGCCCGGCCCAGGGGGCCCTGCAGCCCTGCCCGTCTTTTCCCTGCAGCCGGGCCCCATCACCGAGGTGGACGGGGCGGTGGCCACAGACTTCTTCACGGTGCTGTCCACGGGCCACCACTTCACAGAGGACCAGTGGCTGAACGTGCAGGCCTTCTCCATGCTGCGGGCCTGGCTGCAGCACAGCGGCCCCGAGGGCCCGGGTGCCCCAGACACAGGTGCGCCAAGTGCAGGAGGCAGGTGTGCTGTGTGGCGGGCGAGCGGGGATGCAGGCAGGAGGCAGGTGGGATGCAGGTGTGCCCCAGGCACCAGCGGGCAGGAGGCCGGCAGCAAAGGCCTGGGGACTCGGGACAGAGCTGAGCCCACCGCCTGGCGTCGTGGGTGCCCTCGGCCAGCCCCGGGAAGCCCTCAGACACCCTCATGGGTGTGCAGGGAGAAGCCAGAGTGATGAGATTGTTGGGACACCTTTGCTGAACTCCTGGTCTGCTAGCCACTTGCCGGGGGGAGAAACCTCAGCCACACGAAAGGGTGTCCGGTGACAGGGAGAGCTAGAGGCAGCCCAGGCACCCCGACTCTCCACGTGGCGGGAGGCTGGCCAGAGCATGTCCTCTCGTGTGTTTCCACGTAGGGGCAGCGAGCATGTCCCTGCTCGGGGAGCCACACACTGTTCCCCTGAGCGTCCTCTCCTTCCACAGACGACAAGTCGGAGCTGGAGGGCTCCACCCTGTCGGTGATCTCTGCCACCTCTGCTGCCGGCCGCCTGCTGCCCCCCCGCGAGCGGCTGAGGGAGGTGGCCTTCGAGTACTGCCAGCGCCTCATTGAGCAGAGCACCCGGCGTAAGTCCTGCCAGTTCCAGCCCCGCCCTGGGGCGCTGTCCTTCTGGGGATCAACCCTCCTCCCGAGAGGTGAAGTCGGGGCAGCGGATCTTCACTGAGCTGCCACTCGGGGGGCTAGTGTCCCCGGGTAGCAAGTTTGGGGCAGGAGGCTTTTTTGTTTCCAGGGTCAGCCCAGGGAGCTCAGCACTGGACAGAACCCGTGCCCTTAGGGCCGTGTCCCAGCCCGGGCCTGGACCCTGTCCCGCCCGGGCCCCTTTGGTCTCAGCCCCCACCTCGAGTCTCCTCGTGTCTCCCCGTCTCCCCCCGCCCCCGCCGTCCTGCCCCTCCTCTCGCAGTCCTCGCCCGGAGCTTCCAGGACGCTGTTTTGAGGCTGCGGCAGAGCCGAGTTGACTTTCTCCCATCCTCTCAGGAGCCCTGAGGAAGGGGGACTCCGACCTGCAGAAAGCCGTATGTGACCGGGGACTCGGGGCGTGGGGGGCAGCAGCGCTAGACCCTTCCGACGTGGCCTCGTGTCCCCGCAGTGCTTGGTGGAGGCCGTGCTGGTCCTGGACGTGCTGTGCCGGCAGGACCCGTCCTTCCTCTACCGCACCCTGTCCTGCCTGAAGGCCCTGCACGGGCGGCTGAGTGGGGACCCGGCCTGCGTGCGGGTGCTGCTGCCTCTGGCCCGGTTCTTCCTGACGCACGGTGAGCGCCCCCCGCAGGGCGGCCGTGTTCTCGTTGGAGGGTGGCTTCTACCCAGGGGCTCTCCCCTCGCGTTTGTTTTAGATGTCGATTGTTTTATGACTACTGGCCCCAGGGGGGGCGAACTTCACATTTTTAAACAGCAAAACGCTGTTTACCGTGATACTGGCCCATGAAACCCAAATGTCAAGGAACTAGCACCTTTCAAAGAATGCTCCGTAGCTTGTGTTAGAGGAGCTGCCTGTGGCCCCTGGGAGATGTGGGTGTGTGGCTTAACCAGTGTCCCCGTGTAGGGTGTCTCGGAGCCTTTGGTGTTCTGGAAACTTGGCCCGAGACTCTGAGGGGCCTTAAGCCGCAGAGAAGCATTTCCAGGACATGTTCAAGGTGCTCATGTTGGGGCCGTACGCGCTGATGGCCTCTGGCTCCTGGCAGGGGAGGCGGCCGCGGTGGACTCGGAAGCCGTGTACCAGCACCTGTTCACCAGGGTCCCAGCCGAGCTCTTTCACAGCCCCATGCTGGCCTTCGAGTTCGTCCAATTCTGCAGGGACAACCTCCACCTGTTCGGCGGGAACCTCAGCATCCTCACGCTGAGCTTCCCCAACCTCTTTAAGGCACGTGTGGGCGTCCCTGGATGCAAGGCCAGGCCTGCTCCTGCTGCTGGCGGCACCTCCAGGCGGGCCTGGCCATGGGTGTGGAGCCGGTGGGTCCCAGGCCTGGAATGCGGGTGCAGGGCGAGGTGGGGAGGCCGAGGGTGTCTGTGCATCGTCACATGTCAACAGTGTCACCATCAGAGAAAGCTGCACGTGGTTCCTTTGGGGATGGGGTAATTAGTTGGGACTTTGTGAGTTTGTTCTCACAAAACTTGTGCCGGGTTATGGTCTAGGATTCCTCACTGGGCCCTTGCCTGGTGCCGGCAGCACTTTGATGCCGTTGGGTTTCGGTGCATCTTTTGCAACCGGCACTTCCCTGTGTGGCCTTGTAAACCCAGCTGGGACCTTAATCCTCCTCCCAGAGGAAAACAGTAACAGGTGGGAAATGATTGATTTAATTGTACAAAGTGGATGCAAAAGCAAAAAGTAAATAAGTTGGGAAAGAACCAAACAGTATTTTCAGTCTCCTTGACCACAGTGAAATGGGAGAAGGTGGAGGAGGGGCAGGCGCTGAGCCCCTCCTGCGGATGGCAGACTCGTGGCAGCAGTGGGTCCTGGCCGCACAGGCTGCCCCATGGTGCCGGCCCCGCCTGAGCCCTGTGTTTGTGCTGCAGTTCCTGGCCTGGAACAGCCCAGCACTCACCGCCGAGTTCGTGGCGCTTCTCCCAGCTCTGGTGGACGCCAGCACAGCCGTGGAGATGCTGCACGCGCTGCTCGACCTGCCCTGCCTGACCGCGGCCCTGGACCTGCAGCTCAGGTGGGTCCCCACTTGTCCCCTCTGCCAGTCCCACCTGTGCCATCAAACTAGCCGTTCTCCCTGGCCCCTCCTTTAGTGCTCCTGACCCCTGCACTGGCGACTTGTGCCCTGCAAAGACACCTCCAAGGCAGGGCGGGTCCTGCCCTTCGCTGCCCACTGAGGGCAGCCCTGGAGCTCCACGGCCTGTCCCTACACTCAGTGGCAGAGCCACCCATGGGCCCCTGCCCTGTACCCCTCCCCATCATCCCAGGGCACAGCTGGATCAGGATGCTGTATGTTATGGTGGCACTGGCTCATGTCTCTCCCTGACAAATGGGTGCCCTGAAGGGCAGGTACCTAATCAGAACTTGGGTGGCCTGTGCCAGGAGCCCGCGTCCCACCTGGCCTCAGGTGTCTGCACTCACAGGTCGTGGCCAGCTCCATCCGAGAGGCCGCTTTGGGACACCTCCCTCAGGAGCCCCAGCTGCCTGGAGGCCTTCCGGGACCCACAGTTCCAGGGTCTCTTCCGGCACCTGCTGCGCCCCAAGGCCAGCGGCACCACAGAGAGGTAGGGGCCTTGAGCTGGGAACTGCCAGCAGCTCAGCGAGCGCTGACTGTGCCACTGTCCGGGTGTGCTGGCATCTTGAGGTCTCCCTGAGCCCCCCGGGGGTAGGTGGTCCTGAGGAGTGAGGGAGTGAGGAGTTGGCGGGCACAGGCCTAGCAACATGAGGGGGACAGTGATGGTGAGGCCACCTGGGGCCAGCCCTGACATCTGCAGGCACCAGCCTGTGCAGTCACACAGGTTCATGTGTTCAGAGCGTGTCTGTGTTGGGGAGTGGGCAGGCGCTCAGTGGGCCATGCTGCATGTCCCCAGGTTGGCACCACTCCACCAGCTGCTGCAGCCCATGGCCAGCTGTGCCCGGGTGGCCCAGTGCGCTGAGGCTGTGCCCACCCTGCTCCACGCATTCTTCTCAGCAGTTACCCAGGTGAGCGTGCTGCCCAGGACCCGGTTCCCACGGGCCTCACATAACTGGGGGCAGAGGGGCTGGCCCAGGGCGAGGACCACGGTGTTGCCCTTGACCTCTGTAGACAGCTCATCCTGCCACAGCCCCTGTCCACAGCTGCTCTGAGGGTCAGGAGACTCACAGGGAAGGGGCCAGGCCCTGTCTCCCATCCCCAGGATGGGCCGGTGCTCCGAGGTCTGCAGGTGTCTGCCTCTGAGGCCAAAATAAAGGTTCCCATAGGCCAGGGGGGTCCCACCTGAGCCACCCCTGGGGAGCTTTACAAACCCGATACTCAGCCACAGGCAGACCCCTGAAGTGGCCGGCAGGGGGCCTGTGGAGCCGGAGGGTGGGTAGGGCTGAGCCGCACTCTCTTGACTCCCAGATCGCCAGTGGGGCCCTGACCAACCAGCTGGTGCTGCTGCTCCTGGAGAGGAGTGACTCACTTTACCGAGTCCCACAGTTCGAGGCCCGTGTGCACAGGTGGGCCCCTCCCGCCCCATGGTAGCCCCTGGGCAGGTATGGCTATGCCTGTCGGAGGAGCACATCTTGGGTTTTTCAACTCCCCCTTTGGTGGCTGCAGCTCCACCCTCCAGGCTGGGCCCGTAGCAGCCTCGAGGGGGGCGGGGGTCCGCTGATGGCCCAGCCCCAGACCCTTTCTCTTTGCCCCCTTAGGAGCACTCCCCCAGTCCTTCCCTGCTCCAAGTCTGTCATCTTCCAAACTGGCTCAGGTCCCTCTTGCAGACCCCCTACCCCCAGGGACAGTGCTAGTCTCAGCCTGCCCCCCCATGAGGCGAAAGTTTCTCTGGGGATGGCGGTGTAGCCTTCACCCGGCTGCACGGAGCCCAGTGGCACACAGTGCTTTCGGCAGGGTGCTGAGCTCCCAGTTCCTGGCCCTGTGCAAGCTGAAGCCCTCGCTGGTGGTGGAGCTGGCGAGACACCTCCTGGAGTTCCTGGGCAGTGTGAGCGGTGTCCACAGCCGAGCGAGCATGGTCACCGGCGTGGTAAGGCAGACGCTGGCCTCTCCTACCCCAACAGAGGACAGCCTGGGTGGGCGCTGAGCCTCTGTCCTTGGGCCTAGGTGTGGGCTGTTGGCGAATACCTGTCGGTGACCTATGACCGGAGGTGCACCGTGGAGCAGATCAACAAGTTCTTCGAAGCCTTGGAGGCCCTGCTGTTCGAGGTCACCCAGTCCCGCCCCTCTGCTGCCCTGCCCAAGTGTCCACCGCAGGTTGTCACCGTGCTTATGACCACACTGACCAAGCTGGCCTCCCGGAGCCAAGACCTGATCCCCAGGTGCGTGGTCAGGGAGTTGGGGGAGACACCTGCCAGCTTTGTGTGGAAAGATGTGGCTTCTGAGGTCTTCCCTGTCCTAAGTGTCCTGGGTGGACACAGGCGGCTGGGCTGACCAGGGTGGGGGGCAGTGCCCAGGGGGCTGGCCCCCTCCACACAGACCCCTTTCCACTGAGGGAAGCGTCTGCAGCTGAGTGGCCGGAACCCCCTTGTCCCCAGGGTGTCTCTGTTGCTGTCAAAGATGAGGACACTGGCCCAGAGCCCTGCTGCCAGCTCCCCGCACGGTGATGAGGGGGCAGAGGCCATCCACACCCGGGCCACAGAGCTGCTGAACCTCCTGAAGATGCCTAGCGTGGCCCAGTTCGTGCTCACACCGAGCACGGAGGTGTGCAGCCCCCGCTATCACCGCGACGTCAACACAGCCCTGCCCCTCGCCCTGCGCACGGTCAGCCGGCTGGTGGAGAAGGAGGCCGGCCTCCTGCCAGGGTGAAGGGACAGTGACCAGGTGGATGCCGGCCGCAGACTAAGCGCCTGGGGCACCAGCCTGGTATTGGGGCCATACCGCCTGCTCTAGTGACGAGAGGAATCCAGGGAAGAGCACGAGTCCTCCGACACAGCAGACGACAGGTCCCTTTCTCATCTGAGGGTTTCTAAGCCCTTTGTTTTGGGACTGCTGAGCAATGGGATTAAAAGATCAAACTGCACCCTGGTTTGCAGCACTGGTCCTTCTGGCTGGACAGAGCTGTTTGGTCCGTTTCCAGAGGCTCCTCAGTCCTGGGTGGGGACAGGAACAGTTAAAAAAAAAAATAACCCATCCCGGGCACCGTCTCCAGCACTGTACTCTGAGAACATGAGAGAATTTATTGAATCTAGACATCTCCATTAAAGTCTTTAAACATAAAAGCTCTGTAACAAACCTCGCAACTTAGTGTTGTCTGTCATATAAATAAAATATACACTAAGATGTACATTATCAACAGGACGTGTCCTGAAGGTGATGCCACCACATGGGAGCTCAACTCAGCCAATTAAAAAACACAAATGGCTTGATGATGCCAGCGTCACCTGGCAGAACCGGGCGGCAGGTGTGTGGGGTCGTGCCTAGGGCAGGGGTGTGCGGAAACGGAGCTTCTTGGCTGTTTCCACGTCAGACTTGGCAACCAGGAACCGCATCTTCTTCCCCCCGTGTCGGATCAGATCCACAGCCCTGCAAGCCGGGAAGGAGGTGAGGCCGGTGCCGGAGGACCCTGGGCCAGGTTCCTGCAGAGCACGCTGAGCACCCGCCTCCACCCACCCTGTCCTGCAAACCTGAACCCTCCCTCCGCAGCTGCCTGTGTGCGGGACTCGGCATGGCTGGCATGAGCCTGGCGTGGGCTGGGCCTGCCCTGGTGGCACAGGCCAGGGTGTGCAGGGTAAGGGTACCTCAGGTAGCTGACACCCGTCAGGCGGCTGCCGTTGACCTCCAGGATGCGGTCTCCCAGGGACAGCCGCCCGTCGGCCGCGGCGGGGCTGCCCGGAAGCAGAGTCTGGATGTAGAGCCCTGGGGTGCCCAGGGGCGTGTGCTGTGGAGAAGCAGAGGCCTCAGGGCTCTGCAGGCCACTGATACGCAGAGGGCCCCAGCAAGGACCCCCGCAGCCTCCTCCCTCAGCGCTTGCGGGCACCATGCCGAGAGTCGGGCCGCGATACCACCACTGTTCCCAAAGGTCCAGGACAGACCCCGAAAGCCTTAGGACAGGCTTAGGAGGCAAGGGACAGCAGGCCCAGGGGATGTAGCCGTTGGACAGGACAAATCCTCAGTCCCTCCTCGCTGGCCCTGCCCATGGCCACACACACAAGCCATGGCAGTCTTTTGTGACACTCACCATCCCATCAATCAGGCCCATCCCCAGCCCCGAGGGGCCTCGCTCCAGCTCCACCATGAAGACGTAGCAGAAGTCCTCAGTGCTGGAGCTGCGGCTGGAGGGGGCTGGAGGGGACTCGTTCATGAGGGCCGCAGAGTCTCCTGGGAGGACAGGGGAAGGTGGGTGGGGATGAGGGCCGCAGGGCTGGAGGCTGGCACCTGCCCCGGAAGTCAAAGATGGGATATCCCAGCTCAACTGCCTCTCAGGGGAGGCGACAGGAAGGGCCCCTATAGCTCAGGAAGGCACCATTTGGGCAGAATGTGAACAGCAAGCCCAGCAATCAGGGCCGGGGTCTGCCTGTGGGCCACACCCCACGTGCCTGGAAGGGGCACCTCAGCCCCACCCCACGGCTGGCCAGCCGCTTCCCGGCTCCAGGCCGGGGTGGTTGCAGCCAGGCTCCCAGGCGGTCTCTGCTGCCTTCTTCCTCCCACTCCCTCCGCACCCCAAATGGTGACCCACGTCCATCCCAGCTGAGGCCCCCACCACTGACCAGGCCCTGACCCAGAGCCCAGCCAGGCCAAGTCCCTTCTCTCCCAGTGCTCGTGCCCACGGGGTGCCCAGGCTGGGCTCCTGGGCAGGGCCGGGGTCTGGTCTGCAGCTGCCTCCTGACAGTCCTCTGAGCTTCGTCCCACATACTTGAGCAGGCAGCCGCGTCGGACCCAGCTCTGCCCGGGGACCCCAACCCTGCAGGACACCGCTGGGCCAGGGGCTGCTTCGCCCTTCAGGCCCTGCCAGCCCAGCCCAGCCACACATAGGCCAGGCACACAGGCTCTTACGTGCCCTGTCCCAGAGGCTCCCGACTGCCCCCAGTGCATCTCTGCACACTGAACCACGCCATGGTGATCAGTCTCGCAGAGTGACCCCTAAGTTTGTTCCTTCAGACTTTACCAACCAGTCAAGCCTGAAAACCAGATTTAACTAGCTTCCCACAGCACTCACCAGCCCTCGCCACCAGCTGACTCGACTCAGATCACCCAGAGACCCCGTGTCTTCAAACCCCGCCAGCCTGCCTGCCTTCCACGGCCCTGCCCTGGACAGACCGGAGACCATCTCTCCCGACAGATGTCTCGTGTTAACATTCTTTCCTCCCTTGGCCATCCTCGTCATCTCAATGATTGGCTCTTTGGTGACTGACAGGACCTAGGATGACCCCCTCTGTGGGTTGGGAGACAGCATCCCAGCCCCTCGTCCTCACCCTGTGCAGGAGTGATTTGCAGTAGCTTTCTAGACTCAGTCCCAGGTCACAGTGACCATTTGCTTGGATGCGTCGTCAGCCCTAAACGACGGAGCTGCGGCATGGCCCCACTGTGTGCCTGCCCAGGGACTGAGCCGCCTGCGCCCCTCCCACCTGACCCAGGCAAGGGCAGGGGCCAGGGGTGCAGAGCTGAGTCTGGGGGTCTCACCTTCTGGAGCCGCACCCCGGGGGCCGCTCGGTCCGTTCCTCTGCCCTTCTGGGAGGGCTTTTCCGCAGGTGCCACTGGGCTCTGACCAGTCAGGGTCCCTGGGCTCGAGGCCAAGCGGGGTGCTGGGAGGGGTGAGCAGGCATGACGAGTCTGTGTGCAGGGGGCCAGCCTGGGAGCCCCCTCGGCCCCCGCAGCCAGGCTGCCTTGCGGAGGGGCCCGGTGCCCAGGGAGCCCCCACCAAAGGAAGAGTGCGTGACAGGGCGGCTTCTCGTGCTCCCTTGCTCGGGTCCCTGGAAGCCGAGGGGCAGCTCTGGGCGTCCAGGAGTGCCTCTGGGACGCTGTGGTTCGTGCCCTGCGGGAGGGAGAGCAAGAGCTCAGGCCAGAAGGTGCAGCTGGGCAGGACAGAGCCTCTGGGTGAGGGAGGGCCACGCTGCCTGAGGGGTCAGCCTGCAGGTCCCCAGGCTGCCTGGGCACGAGGGTCAGAAAAGGACTCCTGCAGCCTGTGCCATCTGAAGAGGCAGGAGAACAGGGTCTTCCCTACCATCGGCATAGCCTGAGGCGGCCGAGGACTCCAGGGCTCCCGGAGCTCGGAATGCGCCCCAGCCCTGCCTGGAGGCCGAGCTGTGCCTACCCGTGCCTCGACTGTCAGGTGGGCGCTGCTGCAAGCTCTCTGGGGAGGAGCCCTGGAGCCCGGCCCAGGACCCTCCCTTCCCGCAGGTACCTCGGGGCCCTCTGGCTGGGCAGGCCCACCGCCAGGGCTGGCTTTGCTTCGTAGGCTCCACAGGAAGTGGCGGATGTAGAGCAGGTGCTGGTAGACGCTGTCGTCCGGGCAGTCTGCTTCCAAATCCACCTGGAAGCCCTCACTCGGCAAAACGATGGGCGGGGGGTTTTCGTAGGACTCCAGGACATCCTCTGTGGGGGTGGGGTCGCCGTGACTGGAGAAGCTGCCAGGCTGGCCAGGCCATCCCCACCCAACACTGGGAACAAGGGACAAGCAGGCCAAGCTCTGGGTCCCCTGACCCATTGACACAGGAGTGTGGGATTCTGGCCAGGATGACTGGGCTCAACCTGACTCTCATTCCTCCTGAATGCCCCTAGACCACTGGCGTGCCATCCAAGCGTCCCAGGACTAAGGACAAGGCCCTTACACAGTCTGGACTCTCTGGTGGCATCGCCCAACTCTCAGTCCCACTGAGCCACTCTGCACTGGGCCTGCCCTGCCATGCTCGGCTCTCAGGGTGACCCCAGGTAAGGAGCTCACTCAGCCCCGCTGAGCTGGACGCGAGCTCCTCTCTGGGGCTTCTGAGGCTGGTGCTGACTCCGTCCCTGCACGTGCCACCCAGGACGCTAACGGCCCATGTGGAGGCTGGTCTCTGCCCACTAGAATGTGAGCTGTGTTACCATGGGGTCCTTAGCTCCCAGGACAGAGCCCCAGAAATGAATCGATGAAGGGGGTGGGGGCGGGACCAGGAGTCCTGTTCAGAGACATTCTCTTGTCCAGGCCCAGTCGCCGCGTGACTGGGGATGGCGAGACGGCATCAGAGCCTAGGTAGCAATGTCTTCCTCTGTCCTTTCCTTTCTGGCTTAGTTTACATGTTGTAATATACATGATGCTAATGAAGGAAGACGTGTAACTTAAAAATGCACATCTGTTGGTGTGTTTTTCCACATATGTACACAGCTCCCTATGATGGATGCGTGCATGCGTGTCCACACACAGCACGTGTGCACAGGGTGTTTCCCACACACTGCGAGGAGACACTGCCCCCATCCTGGTCGGCTGCACAGCAGGTGAGGCCCCACCCTGAGGCGAAGGGGGACCCAAATTTGATCTGAGCCTGGACTTTGGAACATGGGCACAAACTCAGCAAGGGAGGTCCCCAGGTGGGGGACAGATAGGTGGACAGAAGCGGCCACCTGGGGATGGATACATCAGTGCGCCCTCAGTCCCCGGCTCCTGCCTCTGAGGCGCAGGCTTACCTGACTTGAAAGCGGCAGGGCTGTCCCGGGCCCCCGGCTCCCAGGCACTGGTGGGGCCCATGGTCGAGGCCAGCTGGTACTGAGTCAGCAGCCGGTGCAGCTGTGCCGGGCTCAGGGCGGGGAAGGAGGCCCGCAGGGCTGCCCAGCTCATCTGTGTGACAAGGAGCAGCTCATGGTCAAAGGCCCTCGGGTGCCCACGAGGCCCCTTGGTGTAGACTCTGGCACAGCCCTGCTCCCAGGGAGGGTCTGTCCCATGGTGTGCTAGGGACAGCCAGCACGCAGCAGGGATCTGGGCCCAGCACGCCTTGCGTTCCCTCCCCCAGGGGCAGTGAGGCCCAGCAGGGACAGTGCAGTGAGCTCAGTGTCACGGCAGGTCACCCGCGGCTGCCTCGGGGGCAGCCACTGCTGGGAAAGGCGAGCGGGTACCACATGGAATCCCTGGTGCAGTGAACACGCCCTCCCCACACGGCCATGGTGCACTGGGCAAGAGTGGCCCCGGATCCCCCCCTCAGACAGCACGACAGAAATCAAGTAGGCTAAAGACGCGCCTGAGACGCAGAAACTTTGATCACAGAGGTGACAGGAAACTTAAGGATGGATTCATCTGATGAAATTAAAACAACTTCTGCAGTCTCCTAGGACCTTTGCCACCATCCCTCGGGAATGCCCTCCCCAGCTCCTGTGGGGAGGGGTCCTCACTTTCTGGAGCTCATTTCTGTAGAACACATCCTTTAGTAGCTTCCAGAAGAAGGTGCATCGCAGGAAAACTGCTGGCCCTGCTCGGTGGAAAATGTCTTCATTCTGCTTTCGCACCTATTGGCACGCGGCTGGCACAGAACTGTGGACTGAAGTTGTGACTGTGGAACTCTGGTCTCAGCTCCTGTCTTCCCGCCCTGGCAGCTGAGCTGCGGGACGGGCCGGGATTTGCTCCTCTCTGGAACCAGCAGGTGCTCTGTGCCCGCGGTTCTGACATGCCGGGTGCCGGGTCCTGGTGCAGGTGCCCGCTCTTCAGCAGGGCCTGGGCACCGCCTGCTGCTCCTTTCTTCCCGTTCCTCCGTGGAACGGATCTCAGTCGCTCCCTCTCTCCTCTCTGGATCACCTCCTTGGCTTCGTCTTCCAGCCCTGCTCAGAGCTTTCCGTCTCCGCTCTCCTAATTTTAATTTCCAAGAATTCTTTTTCTTCCTGTGTTTGTGGAATCTTGTTATTATTTTATAGATACTATTATCTTCTCTTATTTTTAGGAGAATATGATTTTTCACGTTTCTTCTCCCTGAATAGTTTGTTTCAGGGGTCATCAAACTGCTGAGCCCTATTTTTGCTATTTTTATAGGGCCCTCAAGCTAAAAATGGTTTTTACATTTTAAAAGGGTTTTTAAAAAGAGCCAAAATAAAACAAAGAAGAATATGGGACAGGGAGGGCATGCCCTTCAGAGAAGAGGCCTGCCAACCCCAGTCTGTCTCCTCCCGTTTTGTCCCTCCACCTGTCCCTCCTGTTACAACAAGCTCCTTCAGGCTGCCTGGCTGTTCAGTCATAAGTTCGAGTGGCTGCCGCCTGGCCTGGCTGCGTCTGTGGACTCCCTCCCCACCAGCCCCTGGGCTGCCACTGAGGACTCAGGGCCCGGAGACAACAACTCAGCCTATCTCCTACTCGGAGCGCACAGGCCTGGCTGCCAAGGTGGGCAAGAGGCTGGGGCTCCCCCTTCCGGCACGAGACTCCAGCCTGGAAGCACACCCCCACCCAGCCTCTGCCAGAGCCAGAGAGGGCACGCATGGGCTGGGCGGGTAGGGAGGGTGCGGAGACAGCAAGCGCCCTGTTGCTTTCCACGCGTGTTTTGTATCTGAGCACAATCACACCGAAAACCATACAAAGCTGAAACGCACAACTCAAGGAACTTTCCCAAAGGAAGATGCCTGTGTACCCACCCCAAGAACGAGAACCAGACACGAGCAGCCATGCTCGTGAGCCCCATGATCTGCGCGCAGGCCCTGCCCTAAGCCCTGACACGCGTGTTCCCGAACCTCGCCGGGAACCGCAGGCTCCTCTGACCCCGTTCGTTCAGCACAACACGAGCGGCCCCTTGTAACACAACGCTCAGTCTCGCTCTCTACTGTTTCCCTGTGATGAATGCCCCAGGCTTTATCCATTACGTGTTTGTTTCTCCACTGTGCTGTGGATGAACGTGGGCTGTTTCCAGGCTGGGGCGATTATGAACAGTGCCACCGTCAACACCCCCGTACAGGCTGCTGTAGGGTACGAGTCGCGAGAACTGCTACATCAGAGCAGGTACACAGGGTCACCTTCCCAAAGGGTTATACCCACGTATGATACCAGCTGCGACGCATGCTACTATTCAAATTGCTGCACCTCCTCACCAAGGCTTGGTATGGGCTTTTTTCATCTAAAATACTGTGATCTTGAATTGCATGTCTCTGATGATTAATGAAGTTGCTCATCTTCCATGTGTAGTTTTCCTTTCTTATGAGCCCTTTTCAGGTTTTGGTATCAAGGTTGAATTGCTGTTTAAAAATGAGATGGAATGTCCTCTTTTTCTAGTTTCTAGAAGAAGCTAGGCAATAATGGTATTATTTCTTCTTTAATGTTTAAAATAATTCACCAATGAAACCATCAGAGTCTTGAATCTCCTTTGTGGGAAGGTTTTAAAATAATAGATTCAATTTCTTTAATGCATAAAGGACTATTCCAATTTTTTATTTCCTCCTGTATCAGTTTTAACAGCTATTCTTTTTCTGATTTGTCCATTTTGTCTAAAATGTCAAATTTATCAGTATGAAGTTGGTTGGTATCTCTTTACTACTAATTTTTAACGTCAAATCTGACTGATGCCCCATTTCATTTTTGATACTAGCAATTTGTGTTTTCTCGCTTTTCTTTTATTAAACTTTTCAAAGAACCAACTCTTGGCTTTATCGCTTTTCTCTGCTACACGTTTATTTACTATGTCACTGATTTTTGCTTTAATCTATCACTTCCTTCTACTTTCTTTGGGTCTGACTTGCTGTTCTTGTTCCTGCTCCATGATCGATCATTCTCAGCCTTCCTTGTTTTCTAATATAGACATTTACGGCTGTAACTTTCCCACTTATAACTGCTTTAACTGCAGCCCACAGGTTTCGATACTCTATTTCATTGCTGCTAACCAACTTAATGCTACCAGGGTGAGCTGAGCTGGGGCTGGGCTAGCTCTTGGTGAGGCTCAGGCGGTCTCTACTTGATCCTCACCCCAGGGTTTCCACTGAGAGCCTGGTGTTTACTCCCTAAGGGGTCCTAAGTTCTAATTTTTGTCTTCTCAGCAGTATGAAACTACCACAAATTCCACTCTGCTTTTCAAAGCTTTCTGTTTAGTTTTAAAGCTCTAGAGGTTCTGATTTTGGGCAAATGGCTTAAGGGGAAAGCTTGCCATGCATTTCAAGCCCCTAAAGTCTCTGAGTTCATCTCTCTAGCCTGTGAGATGGCCAACGCTGTTTGGGTTTCTCCTTTGCCAGCAATGGCCCCTTGCTGGGACAAAGGCTGGATTCTCGGCCTCGCAGGGAACCTGCTCCCGGGACGGCAAATGTCCCAGGGGGAAGCTGCAGGCAGAACTCCAGTTCAGCTCTTTGTGGCTCTCCCTCTGCAGGTCTGTACCTCTTCTAATCCTTCAGCAGCTCTTGGATGCCTTCAGACAAATGACTTTTGTATTTTTTCTGGCGGTGCTGTTGTCCTCAGCAGAAATATACATTGCTCGCAGCTAGTCCACGCAAGCAGTGGTGCTTGTCAAAATATCCATCAGGCTGTTCTTCTGTTTTAGCCCCATCTTTTCAACAATTTCCAGAGGCACCTGCTACCAATTCCTGAGCTTTTTGGTGGCTTCCTGTAAACTGGGTCGCCTCTGAGGAGTCAGCTTTCTCAGACCTGATGGGGCAGCTGCTATTCCCCCATCTGCTTTCTAGCTTCCAAAATAGCTTTCGCCCCCTCTACTATTTTCTTTGTCCCGTGAGTGTATGCCATTAAAACACATTGCTTTGCTTTTGTTTAGTAATATCGTGGGAGAAGCAAACTAAATGCATGTCACTCTGCCATCCATACTTAGACATCCTCATTTTCAAATTTTCCATAGTGAATAAGTGCTTCACTTTTATAATGAAAAAATTAAGTAACTTTTAAAAATTACACTTCTGTAAAATATATAGTTCCTAACATATAGGAACATAGATTTTTAATATTTGCTGAATGAACAAATGACATGTAGGACCAGGTGTGGAATCTTGGCTCTGTACCTGTGTGACCTCTGCTTTATTCCCCGTAGAACAAGGATCACAACTCTGCCCGCCTCACAGGGCTGCCCTGTGACACAGGCAAAGGCTGTGGCACTCTGCAGATACTCGATAATACGCAGTAGCTATTGTCATTACTAACAACACCGAGGGGACACGCCAGCGTGAGCCTGTACGCGCGGACGCTCGAGAGCGGAGTGCTCTGTTTTTGATGCCAGACTGAAAGGCCCGCTTTGCCCTCGTGAGTCTCAGGTCAAGCTGCCTACTCCAGAGTCAGTTCTGGGGTTCACCTGGAGATGGGCAAAGTATCCACATTACCCCTTAGGTTCGAAACTCCCCCTACCAGATGCACAGAAAGCGGACTTCCTCTTGGGCTCCCCTGTGGCCACTCTCGCCCTCACCCCAAGGCGTGCTCCAGGTCTTCCAGGCAGGAAGAGAAACCATTGGTCTGATCCCCACCAACTTCCTGTGCTGAATGTCGGGGAAGGTGGGTGGTCAGGGTACATTAGTTTCCTGTCGCTGTTGTGACAAATGACCACAACCTTGCTGGTCAGAGTGACACAGGTGGATCAGCTCACAGCCGTGTGGGTCTTACTGGGCCACAATGCAGGCGTAGGCCGAGCTTTGCGTCTCTGAGGCTCTGGGGAGGCTCTGCTTCCTGGCCCATCTGGATCGGCACTGCATTCGGTTCCTTGCGGTTGTAGGGCTGGAGTCCGTGTTTCCATGCTGCCGTCAGATGGGGCCATTCCAGCTTCTAAGGCCACTGCACCACTTGGTTTGGAGCTCCTGCTTCACCTTCAGAGCCAGCCACAGGGGCCAAGTCCCTCTTCCTCCTTCTGTCCATGTCTGACCCACCCATGGCTAGACTGGCTAGACTGGGGTGCCAGGATGACTCAGGGTCATCTCTCCATCTTAGTCACATCTACAGAGTCCCCTTTGCCCTGTGGGTAACATGTCACTGGTCCTGGGGACTGCACACAGATATGCTCGCAGCCACTATCCTGCCTACTGCAGGTGGGGACAGCTGTGTAACAGAAACAGCTTCTCGAATTATCTACAGAATGTTTGAGTTTTCTGGGCCCAGAAGCCAGGTCCCTGGCCCCCTAGCTTGGTCTGTAAGCCAGTGACCAGAGCACAGAAACACCTGGGCCCCGTCCCCATTGCACTCACTGCATCTCCTGAGCCGCCTGCGCCCCTACCTGGACGAGCTGGGCCCTGGGCGTGGCCAGCAGGTTGAGGGTGCAGGAGAGCTTTCGGAAGAAGTGCTCTCCAGCCTCCCCGAAGCCGGTGCTTCTTATCCACTCCAGGAGCTGCTGCAGGCGGGCGCAGGCCTGGACGCCTCTGGGCCAGTGGAAGCAACTCAAGGAGGGGCCTGGGGACAGAAGGAGAGCAGGAGGGTGACACCCGGGCTCCAGCACAGGCAGGCACTGCCCTCCCCACTCCGGTCACCAAGGGCATCACAGCTCCAGGACAAACGTGAGAACTTGCATCAGTTTCCAAGGCAACTGACCAGCTCCTCAGCCCCTCTCTGGAGTGGGGGTGGGGTGGGAGGGGAAGGTGGCAGGGCAGGGTGGGCTGTGACAGCCAAGACTCCCCGCGTGCCCCATGCTGCCACCATGCTGTGACTTGCACATGCTGCAGACTTGCCCTGTTCGGATCTCCTTGTACCCCGAGCAGCGTCCCTGGCTGTAAGTAACCAGCTGGGCCCCTGAGCCCCCAGCAGGAGATGGAGGAATGTCAGCTCAGCAAACCAGGGTCAAAGGTCAGAGTCTTTGAGGCTGCATAGACTTGGGTTCCATCCTGGCTCTGACTGTTCTGGGACAGTCCGGTGACTTCCCTGGGCCCGTTCCCTCCCTGTCACAGGGAAGGTGACCTGTGCAGACCTCTCGACTATGGCCTCTCTGAAACCTGAAGGGACCACGGTTCCCACGGGACATGCCCTGGGTGACATGTCCCACCCTCAGGCCTCAGCCTGCCTCCACCCCCACCATGGCCCAGACCCTCAGGAAGCAGCATCCCCCGACCACGGCAGAGCCGTCCCCTAGGAGTCGAGGCAGGAATGTGAGTTCCCAACCCCCAGCCCCCTTGAGCACGTGGCCCTCACCCCTGTCGAGGAGCTGGTTAAGGAGCAAAGTGCCAGAGAAGAAGAAGAGGTAGGACAGCATCTGCGAGGCCACCTCAGGGTGCACCTGGAGCTGCCGCAGGAGGTCCAGGGCCACCTGGTACACAGACACGACACGGCGCAGCTCCTCAGGCAGCTCGGGGGCCGAGCTCCAGCTCTCCCTGCGCTCCGTCGGGAACGGAGGACATTCCAGAAGGGCCGGGAGGCAGACGTACAGGGACTGGGGGGAGACGAGAACACCAAGAGCCACTTCCAGGATGCTGCCTGTTGGGCAGAGAAGGCCACCCCACAGCACCCTGTGGGACAGGCTGTGGCTTTTCCCTCTGTCCAGCATGGGACCCAGCACGAGCTGTCTCCCAGGGCTGCTGGGAGCAGGGACGGACACGGTGGCTCAGCCAGGGTGCCTGCTCTGCCAAAGGCTCGGATGACCTCGGGGGGCGCCCAGAGGCAGCACTTGGAGGGATGGGCTCCAGCCCTGTGGCTACTATGGGGAGAGCTGCCACCTCCCAGCAGCTGGCTCACTGGACCACTCTGGCGCAGTGGTTCAGGACGACAGCAGAGCCATGACCCTCGTGCCCCACACCAGGGCCTCTCACGTCTCATGGCTGACCCTCAGAACATGGAGGCGGGAGTGCGTTTCAGGTGGCGGGAGGCAGCCAGGATGGCTCTAGGTTGCTGCTTGGGCAGGTGGCGGGCGGCCAGGGTAAGAGCCAGGGTAAGGTGGGAGGGGCACATCAGGGCCTGCACGGGACCAGGGGCCATTCATCACTGTTGAGGCTGAGCTACTCATGGCCCGTCCCTCAGGCCCCTAGCAGAGCCCTGGCATGAGCTCCACGTGAGCCCACTTTGTCCACTCAAGCAGAGAGGAACAGTCCCATCAGGGCAGGGCCCATCTCTGCGTACCTTGGAGACATAGTAGACGCACTGCTGGAAGGCGTACAGCACCACCTCCTCCAGCACCGCCATCGCCTCCTCGCTGGCCGTCAGCGTGCAGGAGAACAGCGACTCCTTGGAGCCTTCACAGAAAGAGAAACACCGACGGTCACTCCAGCCACGGCGCTGGGCACATCCTCCAGGTCACCGACAGCACTGCCCGACGCCCTCACCTGGGCTCAGAGATGCAGTAAACCGGCCAACTCTGGGCTGTGGCTGGACTTGAGCTCCCTGGCTGAGCCTAGACCCCCTGTGCCCTCCCGAGGGGCCAGGGTCTTGGGAGGACAGACCCCCACTCAGGCGGCTCCACGCCCTACAAACCCCAAGTGCATTAGAAGTTCATTAACCCACACGTGCGGGTAAGTTCTCCATCCTGACCAACCGCGCCTGCGATAGCAGGTCCTCACCCCCCTGCATCACCTGCGACTTCTCACTCGGGATACAGGTCAGACAGCGTCACTCGACAGAGTCATGCCGTTCTTTCAGGGGGAAAGAAACCCATACGGCCTTCCCCACACCCGGAGAGGCTGCTGGGAAGATACTGCTGTGTCTCTGGCCACCAGGAGGGGGCCCAGCTCTGGGCTGGGGGCACACGATGAGAAAGTGGGTGTGGCTGAGGCTGAGACTGGAGGTTCAGGGGTGGGGGGGCACTGCCCACAGGGGCAGGAAGCGGGCATTGGTGGATGCGAGGTGATTCTGTCCCTCTGGGCAGGGGTTCCCAGAAAGGCGAGAGGCTGCCGACAGGGTAAAATCATGCCTCGGGGCCTTCTAGAACCTGAGGGGGCACCTGGTGGTCTCAGTGACCAGGGTCCTGCCAGCTCGAGGGGAAGGAACCAGGACAAGCCACCAGCCATCCCACCTCTGTGCTTCCTCGTCCCTTCAAACCCCACTTATTCCTTACACGGAGCTGTGGGCCACCGACCATGGCAGTTTCCTGACGACTTTGCCTCCTCTCCCTTCCTGCCGTGGCCTTTCCATGCCAAGGCTGCACCACCAGGACCTCCTGGCAGGCCTGTGAGGGGGCACTGGGTCTGCAGGACAACAGTCACCACCCTGGAGCACAGAACTGGGCCGCCCTCCTGCCGGGCAGACAGCGAGGGAGGCGCAGAGGCCACACAAAGCACGTGGATGTGCTTCTACCACCTTTGCTGTAAACGGTGCTTCTCCTTCAGGGCCTGGGGCTGCCCGCTCCTGCCCACCAAGCCCACCCTGTGGGCTCCATCTCCCAGAACCGCCATGGCCCCACCAGGGCCTGGCCCGAGGGGTCTCATTTGCTCCCTGCAGCCTCCCTGGGAAGCAGCGGGGGACCCAGGGCCTGGGGCTCTCTGCTACCTCAGTGCTCCTTCTCCCGGAAGCCTCAGGGCCTTCAGACACACGCAAGCCTGGCCCGGACCACCGACCAGAACGAGAGCCAACCGATGGATTCACAGCCAGGCCGAGCTCCAGACCCTGTCACCTGACACAGGCCCATCTGTCGGGCAGCTGCCCTGGACACACACGGCTCCCTGGGGCAAGGGGCAGCGCTGGACGTGCGGGGGGTGCGTGGGGATGGCAGGAGGGGCAGACGGGGAATGCGATGGAACCGTCCGAGATGCTCCTGCCTGTGGCGCCAGCTCTGCTGGTATCTGAGCCTCCAACACCCGCAAGCCTCTTAGAGGACCAGTGGTCCTGCAGCCCTGCCCGCTCCTGAGGCCTGTGGCTGGGCACCCCTCTGGGCGCCTGAGGGAGCCCACCCTGCCCGTAAAGGCGGAAGCGCTGAGCCTCAGCCGAGAAGAGAGAATACTGGAGAATCCTAAATGGACGCAGCGAACGCCGTCTCCTCCTGAGACGGGCAGACACAAGGCCTCCCGGTGAGAGCTTTGGACAAAAACATGTTTGGAGAATGACAACACCATTTCTCCAGCTCTCAGGACGTGATGTCTGGTTGGAGAATTCTTCCCAAGACATTTCCTGCAGAGGGTCGGGGCTTCTGACCTCCCTTCGCCCTCTAGCAGATGCGTTTTCCTCCGGGTCGTCCGGCGCCTGCCTTGCCTATAACACCCGGATCCTGCAGCGTCCCCGGGCCACGTGGTCTCCTGGGGCAGGCGGGGCGGGCAGGGCTCTCTCCTCAGCACCCATCGGCCATACTCAACAACACCCAGGCCCCCGACCAAAAATAACTTCCTCCCTGAGACCGGAGGCAGCCGGAGCAGCGTTTCCCATGAAGAGCAGCCAAGGCGGGTCCCCAGACGAGACTCAGGCCTCTGACATGCAGCCTCGGGGGAAGGGCGTCAGCAGGGGACTTGCCAAGAAGTCACAGAGGTGGGGAAGCCAGTTCCCTGAACTGACTCTTTCTGCAGGAGCCAGGACAAAAGGGACTTCCCTGTCAGCGTCCCCCTAACCAGTCTCGTCCCTGGAGGATCAGCCAGGACCCAGGTGCTCCTCGGCCAGCGTCCACTCCAGGGGAGTCTCTGCCATTTTGGAACCCGCCTGCCGGCTGCAACGCTGACCTGGGCAGCTGAGGCCTTCGAGGAGACCAGTGCTGAATACTGAGAAGGCCAGGTGCCCAGGGAGGCCTGAGGGCCAGGCGGCTGGATGTGAGGGGCAGTTGCTTAGGAGACGTATGCAAGTGCAGTCAGTTAGGTCACATTTAAGGGGAAAAGGCAGACAAAAGATCTGCTTTAGACCCAGGCCCTGTGGATGGGGAGGCCGCCCCTCCTGCCGGCTGCCTTTCACATCTGCCCTAGGGATGGAGGCCATAAGGAATGTCCCTGGGACTAGGTAGGCTCCCACTGAGGGCCACGCTTCCCTCCACAGATCCATGGAAGCCCAGGTGTCTGGGCCCTGGGAGCCCCAGGGAAAGGTCCTACCTCCCCCTTCTCTGTGGAGCAGGGATAAGAAACCACGGCTGACCAGAAGGGGCACGGGCAGAGTCCGGCTCTTCCCTGCAGGGACAGGGCATGCCCTCACCCCACAACCCAACATCCAGGGCCCGGCCCCCAGTCCAGCCTGGTCTCCACCACCCACCCTCCACCCAACCCAGGGACCAAGTGCCAGGCCCCACTGAAGCAGAGCAGGAGCCTGTCACTGCACAGATGCCCCAGCTCCTCCCTCTCAGCCACCAAGAGCCCCTCCCTCAGGAAATCTACCCCAGGGTGGGGGGGGCCGGGGCGCAGCAAGGTTTCAACAGTCACAGATGCAGCTGGGCCCAGGACCTCACCCTGGCCTTGTTTTCGTGTGGCTCTTTCAGATGGAGCCACAGCCACCTCCTGGGGACACAGCTGAGTACACAGAGACACTACAGCATCCAGCAGACCAGGCCCATGGAAGCGCCTCAGCCAGGCCCCATCCCGAGTGCCTTGAAGCTCAGAGACACGGCCTGAGGGCAGCTCCCAGTGTGTCCAGGCCCTCCCGAAGCAGGGCCACCAAGCCACACCCACTCAGGACCCCCACAGCACCTGGAAGGGCCTGAACAGTGCAGGGCCCCACAGAGGTGGGGGAGTGAGTGGCTTTGCTTTTGCTACGGCAGAACCAAGCTGACGAGGGCAAACCCGAGGCCGCCCATGGGAGGCTCTGGCCCACAGAGTCCTGTCCTGCTGCTCCTCCCTGGCTCCACTCCCGGGCCTCCTGGGCCTTCTCCAGGCCCCACATAGTCCTGGGCAGACAGAGCCACCGACATCCCAACCGGGCCTCGAGGCCCTGCCCCAATGCCACCTTCTTCATGAAGCCCTCCGGACCACCCAGTCAGGACCACTCTCACTGAGTGCTTTCCGAGCACCTCCATTTTAGTATTTCAGAAATCCTAAAACGTACATTTCCCACTTTTTAATCTCTGAAACCGATACGATCTGCCACTGTACAACAATAACTGGCAACATTCTTCCTTTCTGAAATAACGGAGCACCTCACACGAGCAGTGGCCGGTTTGCTTTGGTTTCTTTTTTTTCCCCCCTTGGGGGGCTTTTTTAACCCCAGCCTCCCTGTAAGCAGAACGGAGTGGGGCTGCAGTCAAGGTGACACCATTGCACAGAGCACATGGGACCAGGGGACAGATGAGGCGCCAAATGCACCATGGCCAAGAGGCCCCAGACCCGCCCAAGCCACCAGTGGTGGCCTCACAGGAGGTCCCCAAACAACTGCCGCATTCCGGCTGGAAGCTAAAGAAGCCCCAGCACAAATCCATCCCTGTTCTCGAGGCCACTCTGCTGGGGGATGGCAAGAAGCCACCACGTTCACCCCACCTGGAGGCACCGGCGCAGCTACCAGGTGGCGCTAGCCGTACCTGTGATGTCCAGCTGCTCCTCCATGCTCTGCATGTACAGTGGGCATTTCTGCTGGATAAAGTACAGGAGCTCGATGGAGTTAGACATCCAGAAAAGAATGTGCTGCAGGTCTGGAACTAGGTCAGCCACGGTAAAGCTGGCTGCGATGGGCTCCTGGCTACCGAGACAGAAACACCGCGTTATGCTCAGACCGACACCAGGCAGGCGGAATAGCTGCTCTGCCCGCACGGGAGGTTTGTTTTAATGGGGCGCAACAAAAACTGCCACCACTGCCCACCTAACACAGTTGGGCCGAGAAGTTAAACATACACACGTGTACCCACTTGGCACCTGCCAGTGACACACAGCAGCCAGCGGCTGCTACAAACCCATCAGGACAGGCGGCTGCCAGGCCACTGGCAAAGAACTTGGCAAGGAAACTGCTCTGTGTCTTCTCTTCGGAATCGGATGGGAAAGTGGCTGCGAATGTTAAAAGAGTGTGCAAATGTGTACGCGTGCGTGCAGGAAGCGGGGGGACCGAGATACGGCCCAGCGTTCTTAGAACCAGAAATGTGAGTTTCAGCACATTATTTAAGTGAACCAAGTATCACCAGAGGAAACAAACAGTGACGGGACTAGCTGGGGAGGTGAGCACAGCCAGCTCCCCCACAGCGGGAAGTCAGAGGGTGACGTGCACTGGATGAGTCAAGAGGTAGCAGCCGAGACTGCTACTGGAAGTCACGGGGGGATCCCTAGAAGACCCCAAACCAGGCTCACCGAGGCTGCCTCTGAGATCCACAGGGGGCGGCCAGGCCAGGTGTCCCCCACAACCCTTCTGCACAGTGGGTTCCTTGTCCCCCAGCACATTGTCACTCTGGCTAATTAACGTGGAAGGAACTCAGACCCCTCCAGCAACCTCTGGCTCAGTGCTCCCTTTTCAGGGGACAATCTCAATGTCTGGGTCACCTGCCTCCCTCACCAGCCACCCCCACATGCTGCCTTCAGAGCTCCCCAGACCACTCCTGCACCTCACAGGCACCAGCCCCGAGTCTCTGCCGATGGCCCACCTGCCCACCGTGTGGTTTGAAACTGCCTCCTATTGTCCTACCCTGGCCTCTCAGAGCACCAGAGGGATGAATACGGAGAGGCCATGCTGAGGTCCCCACACAAGTCCTCATTTTAAAATGCCAACTGCATGTCTTCCTCACAAGTCTCCTGTTTCCTCAACGCCCTAGCTCAGCACTGAGCCCTAGGACAGGCTTCAGGGGCACTCTGGGTGGGGCTCTCGCAGCTCCGCGTGACATACTCATCCACACTGTCACGGTCACATCCCGTGGACGGACACCTGTGGGCTTGCCACATAGGTGTGTGCCCCTCGAGGGTGAGCAGACAGGGTTGTTCACAAATAGATCACGCCACCCACAGTGGACCAGGGCTGACCAAGATGAGGAGGGTGCCCCTGCTGCCTGACCCCCGGCTGTCCTGGGGGCTCCCCACCACCTCAGTGTCCCTTCCTGGCGGGATCCTCAGGGGCAAGCCAGGCAGAGCAGGCTCAAGGATGGACAGTTGTCACAGTGAAAACTGCACCCGGTGCCGGGACTCTGTGCCCAGCCCGGGGGTTCTGGGGTTCACGGGAAAGGCTGCTGGGACCTGTGGGTGGCCAGTTTGTCAGGGTGACAGAGAAGGGCTGAGGCTTTCTCCTCCTTCCTGTTCCTTTCCCAGCTGAGCAGCCACTGGGGCCAAAGGGAGGAACCCAGGCTCCGTCCAGATCCTCCCTGGTGCCTGAGGTTTGGCCCGTTCTTGCTGATGTCATTTCGCTTTTGTCCACAAACAATGTTGACCCCTCTCTCTGTCCTGCTCCTGGGGGGGAAGCAACTGGCCTACGGCGGCCTCTGCTGCGTCTGCGGCTAAGTAGGTCTGCTGTGGCCGACAACGCCCGCACGCTTATCTCACGCTGACACCGGCTTGAATTACACATGTGTATGCAGACAGGCATAAAGAGTTTTATGTAGTTAAAAAAGGATTAATTTAGCTCTTCGGAGCCTAATTCCATCTTGTTTTCAACATTTATTGCCCTTCTCAACTTCACTCAGAAGTCAAAGGCGTAGACACGCCTCTACCAGAAAACAAGACACCAGGCATTGCCGACTGGAGTTCCAGTATCGACCCCAGCACGGTCAGCATTGAGTGCCGCCACCTGCCAACCCTGGGCCCAGGGAACGACAGAGACCCAGCCCGGCCTACCCAGGCCTGTCGGGACACACGAGAGGGTCTGGGGGAAACGGAGACCCCGTGTCGGCCCAGGAGAGGTCCCGATGAAATGAGAGCAGGGAGGGCACAGGGCACTCAGGCAGAGAGAGCAGTGTGGGCAGAACCTTGGCCATGCGGAGGCCTTGGGCAGGAGGAGAGGGCGAGGGCCAGGCATCTCCTAAGCGGTGGCGGAAGGGAAATGGCACATGTCGCCAGTGCACAGGAACCCGCTCCTGGGAGCCAAATCAGTGGGAACACGCACACAGCGTGCAAGGAGCACAAACGGGAGTGCAGGGATGTGGCCCAAACCTGGGCGTGCCTGGCCCATCCACCAGGAGAGGACCAAAGGAACAGCGATGGCGCTCTGGACCACAGGACATAGCGAGTCACAAAAAATAAATAGGTTGATCACATCTACTAATCTGGAGTAAGAAAGCAAACCACAGAACAATTCATCCAGCCTAATCTAACCGGGTTTAAAAAAGAAAGAAAGAGACGAAATGATCAACATTATACTGCAGGGAACTGTCAGAAGTCGGGGGCTGGGAAGGGGAGGGCACTTCCTGCGTTCCTGTGTAGCTAAGTACTGCTCGTGTTTTGACTATGAGAACATGTGTGTACAACAGGAATCCCACTCGGGACAGCGTGAGGGGGCAGGAAACCAGAGCTGAGGACAGCTGGACTGGATCCTCAGCAGCCTGGACTGCAGGGTGGAGTGCAGGGCGCCAGGGACACCAAGAGGCCTCAGGTGCTGAGACTACCAGGGCGTGGACTCGAACAGGAAGCACACCATCCGGTGACAGGCAAAGCACAGGAGGGAGACAGCAGAGTGTCCGAGACGTGGCGAGCAGCCCGGCAGAGCCACCTCTGACACTGAGAGGACAGGAAAGAAGAGGGTTCAGCCTCCCCGGGAGGGCTGAGGACAGAGGGTGGAGCAAGGAGGCTGAGGCTGGGACAGGCAGGACAGAAGGAGAGGGACCTGGCCAAGACTGGGTGAGAGACATCCGGAGACCAGAGTATTAACCAAAGAGAGGCAAGAAGTCACTGGCACCCAAGGGCACGTCAGGCCCTGGGCAGGCAGTTTGAAAGACAGGGAACGGGCAGCAGCTGCAGGGGCTGGCGGGGCCCGGGCAGCTGGAAAGCAGGGGTGCTGCTACGAGGTACTCAGGTCGGGCAGGGCGGAGGCTGAGGGCAACAGGAGGCGGCAGGACCAGGCAAAGGCTGGATTTGTAGTTTCCTTTCTTTTCTAAAACTGAAGAAACCTTTCTGGTGGCAAAGGGAAAGGTTGGTGCTGAAAGGTAGCCGCTGGAAGATGCTGAGGGGGATGTGTTTGCTGCAGGGGCAGACTGCAGGGTCACGGGGCCATACCCACGTGTCCTCGACCACCCGCCCAGCCTGCATCCTCCATCTGTTTGGAGCAGTTTTATTTGGTGGCAAAACTTGAGGCTTGCATGAGGCCATGTATGTGCACGGTCTTTAGGAATCTGCTTCAAGTAAACATCCATGAGTGGAAGGCTGCCTGCCCGTGGGGTGCTCTGTGACGCCCAGTGCATCTACCATCTGACCTTCCACAAACTCCGGAATATTCCGAACCCCAAAACATATCTGGGCCCAAAGGCTTGGGTTGGTCAGCTAAATTTGACCTGAGGCTGCCTCTGTCCCTGAGTCCGTACGTGACCGGGAGCACATTCTGTTACAAAGCCACGCGCAGGTGGACGGGATCCCTCTGAGCCCTGCAGGGCTGCAGGCCTGATTTGAGAACGGTTCTTTGCCCAAACAAACCCTATTAAATTCAATTTGTCAAAAGTTTTTCTTTTAACAGTATGAAGGACTGCAGGCCTGTGTGTACGTGGACATAAATTTTTCTTATATATAAATATTTGAGGCTTTGCTGGAGGAATACAAGTAAAACTGTTGGGCGCTGTTAGGAGCTCGGAAAAGAACCCAGGAAGTCTTCCTCGAAGCCCGACGGGGACTGGCAACGGTACGTGGAGGAAAAGGGAGTGGGAAGGCCACGGCGGGAAGCAGGATGAGAAAGAATCGTCAGCCTCAAACTTCAAACGTGGATCTAGGTTCTCGACGTGGAAACACCATCACTGCTGGGAACACTGCAATTTGCAACCACAGGTGCAAAGCTTGATGTTGATACACGTGAGGTGGGCGAGGGGGATGGTTCCAAAGCTGATTTAGGCCAATTCAAAGCAAGTATCTCCAAAGGGATTCTGAAGCCAGCCAGGTCTGACAAACACAACAAACCAGAACCTTCCGAGCACCTTCCCCTCTGAGCCTGGAAGGTACTGCTGTGACATGGCAGCCAGATCCCTCCTCCCGGTGGGAACACGCAGGAATGCTGGGTGCAAAAGAATCAAAACGAACACTGTGAAAGCGTGGGAGGGCAGAAGGAGAAAGGGATTTCCTGGGTGGTGAGAACAAAGAACCAGAGGCCAGGATGAAGCTGCAGCTAACAGAGCTTCCAGACACATGGCCCCAGCAACTAGGGCTTCCACATGCAGGTGAGGACACAAAATGTGGCCTTGGGACAAATTAAGAGTGACTCAGAACTCAGTCCCTACATAAAGCCCACAGCCTCCACCTACTGGTCCATCAAAGCCACAAAGACACCTGTTTGTCCATCCATGTCTTGTAGGTAGGGGACAGAGAGAATAAAAAGTCATCTACAGGAAAACTAACCCTTAGGCCTACACCACACGATGGTCACACAGCCACTGGAGACCAAGAAACACACACCCAGGAACACCAGCAACAGCTCCAGATATGTAGGACCCAGGACCCCAGGAGAACAACAGTGAAAACCACCCTGCCAGTGACGTCCACAACCAGACTCACGACCAGTCAACAGAGAAAACCACCCAGTGAGCCGGACACAGTGGCTCATGCCTGTAATCCTAGCACTTTGGGAAGCTGAGGGAGGAGGATCACTTGAGGCCAGGAGTTGGAGGCTGCAGTGAGCTATAATGACACCACTGCACTCCAGTCTGGGCTACAGTGAGACCCTGTCACCAAAAAAAAAAAAAAAGGAAAGAAAAAAAAGAAAAAGAAAAAAGAAAACCACCCGATGAAGCTGAGCTCACACTGAAAATTACACTGCAACAGTGGAAAGTGCCAGAGTGAGGGAGAGCCAGAGGGTGTAACACACAAGACAGTCACCTCATCAAAAAAAAAAAAAAAGACCTGCCCATGAAACAATCATATTTCAAGTAACTGAAAAGATGAAAGAATGTAAGACGCAATGATTACACACGGCATGCTCAATTTAAAGGAAAAAAGAACTGTCTAAATTAAAAAGAAACCCAATGAAAACCTTAGAAAAATTTTAAAATAGTAGATTACACACAGCTGAGGAGTGAATGAGTGAACTGAGAGACCAGTACAGATCTCAGAACGCACCAAAGAGACACAGAGATAAAAACATGCAAGAGCAGGGAAGAGACCTGGGGGACAGAAGGAGAAGGCCCAAACCACGGCTAACAGGAGCTCCAGGAGCAGAGACTAGAGAGGACAGAGTTACAGTGAAATTCAAAGAGATAATGGTCACGTGTTCTCAAAAACTGAAGATAGGCCGGGCATGGTGGCTCACACCTGTAATCTCAGCATTTTGGCAGGCCAGGAATTAGAGACCAGCCTGAGCAAGAGCGAGACCCTGTCTCTACAAAAAAAATATATATATAAGAAAAAGTAGCCAGGTATGGTGGCACGTGCCTATAGTTCCAGCTACTCAGGAGGCTGAGGCAGGAGGATAGCTTGAGCCCAGGAGTTTGACGCCACTGTACTCAGAGTGAGACCCTGTCTCAAAAAAGAAAAGCAAAAACAAATGAAGACAGATATGATGCCTACACTGAAGGAGTAGAATTCCAAGCAGGATAAATGATAACAGGCCAAACCCTGGATACATTGTGGTAAAAATGTATAACATTAAAGATCAAGAGAAAATCTTGAAAGAAGACAGGAAAAGAAACTAATCACAATAGAACAAAAATTAGACATACACAAGACTTCTCATCAGACTATATGCTAAAATGTGATGGAATAATATCTTCAAGGGTTGAGGGAAAAGAGCCACCCTCTTCAAAACAAAGCAAAATCAAAACATTTTCTGACACCAAGTCCAAAATGGCTGGCTACAACAGAGCCTCGCAAAAAGAGTCATTCAAGGATGCATTTCAGTAGCAAGAAAAATAATCCTTAAAGGAGGGAGTGACTGCAAGAAATAATAAGAAAAAAAAAAACAAAAAACCACTGGTAAGCATAAGCACGAGTAAATCAAAATAAACAGACTATAAATATAAATAAAAGCAAAGACTGATTTGGGAAACAACAGGGCTGAAAACAAGGTGAAGCTGGAATAATATAAGTAATCAAATGAAAGCCAGAAAGCCAGGAAGTAGGATGAGAGTCAAAGTACTTTAAGATCTAGTGTTCCACAAAAAGATATTTTAAAAATAACTATGAAATCCACAGAAAAGAGAAGGGGAAATTTTAAAAATCCAATTTGATAGGAAAGTATTAAAAAACAAAGATAATAGGTGTGGTAAACAGAAGGCACAAAACAGATGCTAAAATATATAAGGACAGTGCAAAAAAATAAATTCATAGACAAATTTTACCAAGAAATTCAGATGGGAAAATCCTAATTAAAATGTCAACAATCAACATCACTAATCATCACAAAACACAACCAGGAGATATTGAGACAGCATCTCACACCTGTTAGGATGGCTGTTACAACAAAGAGGAAAGATAACAGGTGTTGGCCAGAACGGCACACTGTCGGTGGGAATGTGAATTGGTGCAGCCATTATGGAAAACGGCATGGAGGAGCCTCAACAAATTAAAAACAGAACTATCCTATGACCCAGCAATCCCACTACTGGGTATAAATCCGAAGGAAATGCAATCGGTGTACAGGAGAGAAGTCTGCACACTCATGTTCTCTGCAGCACTATTCACAACAGCCAAGATATGGAATCAACCTGGATAAAGAAAACGTGGTGTAGATACACAAGAGAATACTATGAAAATTCTGCGTTTCAACGACACGCATGAGCCTGGAGGCCACTGTGGGAAGTGAAGCAAGCCAGGCACAGAAAGAGAAACACTGCGTGACCTCACTCATCCGTGGAATATGACAAAGCTGACCTCACAGAAGCAGCGAGTAGAACGGTGGTCACAGGGGCTGGGGGCTTTGAGGGCAGGGTAGGGATTTGGGGAGATATGGGCCAAAGGATATGAAATTTCAGTTCGATAGGAGGAATACGTTCAAGAGATCTACCGTACAACACGGTGACTACAGTTAATAACGATATGTTATATTCTTGAAAAATGCTAAGAGTGGATGCGAAACGTTCTCGCCCCAAAAACGATAACTATGTAAGGTAATGCATGTGTTAACCAGCTAGATTTAGTCATTCTACATGCATATATACTTCAAAACATCATGTCGTACATGATAAACACATAAAATCTTCTCTGTCAATTAAAAAAAATTTACCAACACACTGTACCTTGCTGTGCTAAAAACTCCATAGTCCTGGAGGGTTTAATCCCAGGAACTCGAGAATGGTTCAGTGTGAGAACAGCTGGGAGAGTGCAGTACCCCGCACTAGCGAGAGTAAAGCGGAAAAATGATCCCAGATACAGAACAGCATTTAGTAAAATTCAGTGGTCATTCACAATTGAAAAAGAAACACACAACACACAAATCTGAAGCAAATACAGCAAAATGTAAATAATGTTAAATCTGGGTGTGAGTTCAGGGGTTAGTGATATATCTGTCCTGTGCTGTATTTTGGAAGTGACTCATTATTTTGAAACGGAAAAAGAAAAAAAAAACCCACAAGCATGCATTAGAGCATGGAAACAGGGCTGTTTTTAGGTCCTAACAATACAAGTTCTGGAAAACACAGAACAAGGCAGTAGCTGCTGCAGGGAAGGCCTGGGCTCTTCCTCCTGGTGGGGAAGTCAGGTCCACATGGCTCCGTGCTGCAGACCAGGGGTGCTGGAGGCCACAGGCACCCCGCAGCCAGGCACTGGGGTCCAATGTCCCAATCCTACCTACACCTGGGCACTTCCAGGGCTGGGCCTGCCCCTGTCACATCCACGCCCCACCCCAACCCTAGAACTCTGGCTGCCCCAGAGCAAAGCAGGAGAGGCGTGGCAGGAGGCCACCACACCTATGGCTGGGTCCCCACCCCAACTCCCAGTCGAATGTCCCCTCAGCACAGAGAGCCTGCAAGACGCAGGACACCACTAAGCACCTGTGGCCCAGCCACCTTCTCACCATTTGTCCTTCCAGGGCCTGGTTTCTAGGAGCCCCCTCCTGTCAAACTGGGAGGCAGAGTCTGGGTCCCCCACGCAGTCTCAGACCTCAGAGGCCTGTGACTCAGTGCATAGCATTCGGCTCTTGCGTAGGGAGCAGGTATCTGTGAGTGAAGGGTATCCTGAGCTCAGCTCCCCTGGGTCGGGCAGTGAGGACAGCCTGCCGAGGACCCCCAGGACACCCCTCAGAGCCTGTCGTTCCTACCTTTGCCTCTTTCCTTCACAGGACCCTGGGGCGTAGGTAAGGGTAAGGCACACACACACACAGCAACAGCTGTGTGCTTTATAAAGGGACTGTTTTGCAGGTGAGGCATAAGCGGGAAGGAAGCAGCCTCCATGTACCGTGGCCTGACTGGGGGAGGCTGTGGCACTGCAGCCACGTGCCCCCAGCCCTTGTCCCCTCCCCCACTGCCTGCTGTGACTGCCACCTTCAACTCTGCTCTCTTCAGGGTGTTGTCACACAGGTGTGCATCTTAACCAGGGTGGCTTGAGAACTTCACATACACGTGCACGTGTGTGTGTGCGCGTGTGTGTACTTAATCATATTACAGATGTTTTTCTGGGTGCTTTTTTTTTTCAGCATTGTCTTTGGATTCAACTACACTGAGACAGCCCACAGCTGAAGGTCATTCACTCCCAGAGCTGCAGCATCCAGTGTATACACTGCCCTCTGTCTGGAGACGTGGTAGCTTCCTGCCCCCATGCTTACAAAGCACCCTCCACGTGCAGGTGTCTCTAGGGGTCCATCCAGAGTGGGAGTGTGGGTCTCAGGGCCTGCGCATCTGTCTCAGGTGTATCCAAATCGTTTCCCCACCCCCAGCAGCATCTAGGGCAGAGATGGTGCCTTCTGTTCAGACGTGGGCACGTGCACCCCTGCAAGGGCCAGGTTGGCTCTGACACACCACCAGCAGCAGGGAAGGGGAGAGGCGGCAAGAATGACCTCCCCTCTCAGCCTCAAGGATGCTCTGCAGAAACTTCCCAAACCCAGAGCCTCCCAGGGAGATGATTCAAGAAATGGAAAAGCCACTCTGAGATGGAAAAATAGCTTGACAGAAGCCCAGAGCTGACCCCAAGGCCCTGGGAGGCCCCTTGGGACCTGGCTCCCTGGGAGGGACAAGCCCTGGGAACCTGCTGCCGAGAGGCAGGTACAGTAACCAGGCCATACTTACAGTTGTGCCTGCTTCTCTGCTAGCTCTTTGGTTTTCTCCTAAAATTAGAAAGGGGGAAAAAGCAAATGTGAGAAAAACAGGATAACACAGGGACAGTTCAAACACACATTACACCAGCTACCTGAAAACATGCCACTGTTGCCCCGTGCATCTGTGCTGTGCTGACGACATGTTCTAAACTGTGTTGGAAAGAACATTTTCCATCTGACTTAGACAGCTTCCCATTCCATTACTGAACATGACCTACATGTTTCCTACAATAGAAATATTTCACAGCCCTCTGGCTTACATAACAACTGACCACTTAAAAAAATAGTAAAAAACAGGCCAAACATTTAGCAAATACTAGAATGAAGATTCTACTAACACTCTCATTGTTAAGCTTAATATAGACTTTTTTAAATGCCAGCCATAGTAATAATAAATAGATGCATATGTGCTTGAATATTTACAAATATATTTAAACTTTCCAACAGGGACTCAGGTTGAACTAACATTTTCTATGCTGTCATCACTTTTAACCAAGAAATACTCTCGCTTTAGTAATAAATTATTATCTGGCTAAACATAACCCTAACTGCTGCCTCTGCTCTTGTAAGATGTGCACCTCTGCCTACATGTTTGATGAGAATGAGGATGGGCAGTGGCCATGAAGAGTCGTTTGTGCTCAGGAAACACCTGAGCAAGTGGCCCTCGAAGGGGATCTAGATGGGGCAGAGTCGAGGGTTAGGATTCTCACAGTGGGGTACTGGGGCGAGCGTGGAATCAGACTTGGTCTGGTGTTTGGAAGCTCCAGATCTTGGGTGAGGTGGTTCACGTCTACGGGCCTCAGTTTGCAAGCCTGCAAGCTGCAGGCAGAGCTGGCCCAGGTAAGCTGCGGGGAGTGGACCAGGGGTGCAGCCAGAGCCCTGGGTGACAGACACTTGGATTCAGCTGGAACCTGGTTCTCTATCCAACACTGCGCTCCCTCAACAAGTGACTGACACCCTCCACGCCCTGGGTTTCCAGCTGTGACATGGGATATGGCATCTGTCCTGTCAGGGTGGTTGTTCACTAGTGAATGCCTGGCACAGAGAAGACTCATGTGGATTTTAATATAAGAGATAGACCAGGTTTCTACAAAGCCAAATGGTTTCCGTTTCCCACATCTGCCCAGATTAGAGAGGGTCTCTGAGCAACCTGGAATAACCACAAGACGTCCTTTGGGTCTCTGGTAGTCAAGTCCCTGGAGGGCAGGAGCCTGGCAGGGAGGCATTGACTCTGGGATGCACCGGGGCAGCGCCCACTGGGGACTGCTTTGGCCCCCTGGGGACACTGGGCAATGTCCAGAGCCACTGGGGGGGGGTCACCAGCGTACAACAGGTGGGGCCAGGCGTGCTGCTACACCCTGCAATGCACAGGATGGCCCCACAGCAAGGGATTCTGCCCACAAAGGCCTTGGGGCTGAGGTTTGTCCATGTACAAGAGCTGACTGGCCTGAACCTCCACTGCCAAGAAGACAAGGGGTTCCCAGCGGGGACAGTTTGGGCAGGCAGCACCCAACCTGCCCCTAGCAGGAAGCTCAGGGCACTCAGCCGAGGGGTGCTCCTGGGGCTCCATGTAGGGGCCTATGAGAGCACCTGACATCACCTGGGCCTTACAGCACCCAGGCTCTACAGCACCTTGTTCCTGGGCACATGACGGTGCTGGGCCAGGCCCTGGGAGGGGCACAAGCCCGGAACTCGGGAAGTGACTGCTGACCCCACACCAGCCAAGGGCAAACTGCTACAGCAAAGCCCTGGAGTCTGGGGCTGCTCCCGGTCACCTGCCGCGGTGGGAGGCCTCGACAGGCAAGGCTTGGCCTTCGCTCAGCCTCGCACCACTGTGGGGGACGGCAGAAAGGAACTTGCGCCTTCCACCTAGGGCTGGGCAGAGCTTGGACCCAGCTCCTCCCTCAGCAAGGACACTCTGGACACAGACCACCCACCCAGCGCCACTGACCCAGACCATCTCGCGGATCCTCCTGGCTATCTTGAGCAGCAGCTGCCCAAACGTGCCAGGCTCGAAGTGGGTGGCTGAGTGCTGGATGCAGAGGCAGAGGAGGAAGGCAGGGGTTAGCTTGTGGTCGTCGCCCCCTGGCTCTATCAGTGTCATGATCCTCTGCAGCAGCGTGTCTTCCAGGTCCGGCTCAAACTCCAGGAGCAGCTGCCGTCGCCGGGACAGGGTGGCCGGCGCAGAGTAGGCGGTGCCCCGGGCGCCGATCGCAGTGCCGCACATGCGACAGCTCTGTGGCACGGCCTGCAGGCGGGCCAGGGCCTGGGCGGGCAGGGGCTGGGCCTGCGCCGGGTCCTTGAACAGCAGCAGATAGTAGAGGCCCAGGGAGAGCAGGTCCCCGTGGTGCAGCACCACGGTCCTCGGCCCCACCTCGGAGAAGTTGACCGAGACAGGCGCCCCGGGGATGGGCTCCAGGACCAGCCTGTCCCCGGCCTGGCCGCCCGAGAGCTGGAGCCGGCGGATGGTGCAGTGCAGGGGCAGGATGTCAGGGGCCGAGAGGCTGATGCTGGGCTTGCTGGCGGGGGTCCGCTGGCCCACCGTGTGCCGGTCCCGGTTGAGCATGTACACCAGGCTGTCCTGAAACACAGACACATAGCTCAGGGGTAGGACAGCACAAGCAGAGGGAAAGAAAAGAAGAGACTTCCCAGTCTCTGGTCACTGATCACTTATGGTGTGTAGCTGGGACTGCTGTCCCCAGGGTCTCTGCAGGTCCTGGGCCACGCCCACACCAAAGCCACCTACAGCCCTTGCTAACCCACCATCCTGGGGCAGGGGCTTTCCCAGAGGACCTCAGAGGCACACGAGAGACCCAGGAGCGACCCAGCTCTGAGAGGCCACGTGAGGGATGGCCTGGAAACAAACGCCAGTTCTCCAGCCATGGCAGGCGCTGCCTGGCTCCCCAGATCATCCGCACAACACCAAGTGTGAGCCCTGCTGCCCGGCTGTCCAGCCCAGCGAGGGACGATGTCACCTGAGACCTGAGCACGGGAGCCCTACGGTGTAGGTGCTCACGGAAATGGAGCAGGAGAGCTCGAGGCAGGAGCGACTGCTCAGGGCTTGATACTGGCGAGATGCTCGGACCTAACTGGTGACAAATGGCTCTGGGGGCAGGCGGGGTGGTGTGGCCTTTTCTCTGTGCCTCCTAAGAGAACACCATCACCAGGCAGTGACTCGGCACCCACCACTGTCTGGAGCAGGAGCAGACTGGCCCTGGCCACCTACTCTGGTCACCTGCCCGTGCCCTTCCCCAAAGGAAGGGGCCTGAGAAGCAGTCTGGAAAGTAACAGAGAGTCCTCTGTGAAGGGCCCTCTGCCCCACTGCCCTCTGCCCCACTGCCCTCTGCCATGCCCTGCATGTGGGGACAAGCCAGCGTGTGCTCCGACCCCATCTCCACAGCTTTGTCGTAGCCACGGGGGCTACAGCCACCAAACTCACGGCTGACTTGGCTAGAGGCCAGATGGGACCCCACCCCTGAGTGTGTCTGCTGTTCCCCACTGGGAAGCACCAGGTGCGGGGAGGGAGACTCACATGCTGCTGGCTATAGCCCTGCAAGAGAAGCAGGTGCGGGGACTGGTACAGAGATAAGCGCATGGTGTCCTGGTCTGGCTCCTCGGGGCCCTGGGCGGTATCAAGCAGCGTGGTGGCTGGGCTCAGGCTGGTCTCGCTGACTGTGCGGCGTAGCCGGGGCGGAGGGGAACTCTGGGCACCCCCTGGGGCCAGGGCTGAGGTTCCCTTGGCGCGGCTCCGCTGCAGCCTCCGAGCTTGGGCGTTTATCCCTGAAACGGAAGTGAGGAGGAGGGGTGAACAGTCAGAAGTCTAGTGGTGCCCAATGGAAGGTCCCATGTCCTCCTGAGTTCAAACCTCACTGAGCCACTTTTAACACCTGTCACTGCTCTGTCCAAGCAAGTCTGGAGGAGGCTCGAGGGCTATGCCCAGTAGCCATGCCCCTCGGAATACCACGCAGCACCATGGCACCCCCAAAAGAGTGGCCCCTAGGGCAGTCACAGAGTAGGCAGCCGCTGTCCTACCCCAAGGCTCGGGGCACCACGCCTGCCCTGCAGGAGCCTGAGGACACACCTCGGCCTGCTCTGACCAGCCAGCACCATGGCCCCAGGGTCAAACCCACAAATGCTTTTCCCCATGGCAGCACTGGCCTCTGCAGGGTCATTTGCCACCCCCAGAACCCTGCTTCACCCACCTGTGCCTCAGGAGAAACTCCCCCACGGGGCTGCTCCGATTAGACAAGATAGACAGATGGGTCCATCATCCTCCCCCTCTTTACAAGAAGGAAGTGGTCACCTTGCCACGTCACCCCACAGGGCTGCCACTGGTCTGCTTCTGCCTCCAACACCCCCAGGCCAAAGCAGGCACGCATACACACAACCACACTCACATGTACACACACCACATGTGCACGCTCACACGTACATACAAGCACACATGCACACAAACACATGCATACTCACATGTACATACACAAGCCCACAAACGCAAACACATGAATATGCACACCCATGTATACACACAAACACATACAGAGCCCAGAAATAACATACACCCTTAAAAGACTTAAAATCAATCACCTACACATAAATTCAGGAATCGCTCTCTAAACTGAAGCTGCAGGGAAAGCTGACAGGCTGCGGTGGGCGAAAGCCGTCCCTGTCCCCATCCGGCTGACCTCGGTGCTTTCTTTTCCAAGCCCTCTGCTGAGTCCCTCCACGCAGCCTTCAGGTTAAGATTTGCCCCCATCAGAGGTGGCCTCTCCTCCAGCCATTCCAAACAAAGCCAGACAAAAGCCAGAGGAGGAGGACGGGGCCAGCGCAGGGCAGGCCGGAGCCCTCCTTCCCTTCCCAAGGCAGCTGCGCATCTGCAGCCCGCGGGGGGCCGGGCGGTGGGGGAAGCCGGAGCCGCAGTGGCAGTGCCGGAGCTCTGCTCTGCCAGGCTGCTCTGCTCCTGGAGCCCGGCATGCCCAGCAGGTGGGGCCCGGCCGCCCCTGCCCACCCTGTAGTGCAAGAACGGCAGGCCCTATAGCTCGGCCTCCTTGTGCAACCGCAGAGGCAGATCTGAAAGAAGGAAAAAAACAGTCCAAAACGATGTCCCAGCCCCCGAGTTTTTCCCAATCCAGGACTGGATTGCAGAAGAGGATGTGCCTTGGAATAACCCTTGGAAGTCTCGGGGCTGCAGGCAGCAGCGAGCCAGGGAAGGTGGCCTCTCCTTCTAAATTCCCAGGGGCTCCCAGAGGCCCTGGCCACCGTGGCCGCACAGGATGTCCCAGGCCAGTGTCCCCTGGAGCTGCAGTCCCTGTGGGAGACTCACTACTGAGTGGACTCTGCTCCTCTAGGTGGGGGCTCTGTACTCCCCCTCAGATAACCCCTCCCAGGACCCCAGGGCCCGACTCTCCATGTTGGGAGGGATGCTGACACACAGGGCTCACTCCCAGGGTCTCCTTCCTTGGTCCTAGGTGGGCCTGTGTGAGTGCAAGAGGGCCAGTGCTGCCAGCCTATGACTGGGACCCGGAGGTGAGACCTCTGCTCTGGGTGGCAGCAGTTGTCATGCACCAAGGCACATTAGAGCCACCCTCTGAGTGCAAGCGATGGAGTGAGAGCAGTAGCACCCACCGACAGCACCAGCACGGCTGGCACAGCCAGTGTGGACAACAACCTGACCGCTCCCTGCTCCCCCATGCCCAGCTGCGGGACAGCCAGCAGGACCCTCCCACACGTCCTGTCCTAGGATGGCTGCTGCAGCACTGCCCACATTAGCAAAGCACTGTACCACCCAAACACCCTCCCAGGGAGCTACCCACCCACCACAGGATGCGGGCTCTGCAGGGAGAGGGTGGGAGCTGACCGCGTGCACAGCCACAAAGGGGAAAAGCAACTATAGAACAACACGCACAGGCCACACCACTGGTTATGGTTTTTAAAAAGCACCCGACACACCACTATCTCTTGCTCATGGTGTGAATACAGGTGAATGTAAAGCTTATTTTTTAAAACAAAAAGGCACACAGTAAATTCACCTGTGGCTATTCTCACAGGTGGGGAGGGAACAGTCTGGGGCTGTAGAAAAAAGGACTTCAACTTTATTCTATTTGACATAGTGTATACACATGATAGAATATATAATTCATAATAACTTCATATCGTGTTTTACTTATTTTATTTTTAAAAACTCTACACAAATGTGATAAAAATCTTTACCTGTCAACTCTGGTAAATGTAACGGATTCCTTATACTTTATCTTTTAAAACTTTTCTAAAGTAAAAAAATCACAGAAGTTTTAAAGGTCTCTCACTCTCGCATGATTTTGTGACTTGGCCCGTCCTGAGACGTGGCTGCAGGAGACAGGACCCCTGTACCCTGCCGGAGGGAGGCCGGGCTCAGGGAGGGTCTGCGGCTTCCCAAGTTCTCAGAGAGAGCGTGCCGTAGTCATTCCCCACCTGTGACTCGGCACTGTGCAGAGCCAGGGCAGATCTGCGTGAAGTTGGAACAGAAATGTCCCCTCCGACCGGTGGGTCAAGGGTGACAGAGGGGGGCATGTGGCAGCAGCACTCACAAAGGTGACCCCAGCAACCATCAAAGCATCAAGTGGCACCACCACTAGACACGGAGCTCGGAGTTTTCAGGTCCTCAGACCCGACATCATGTCACCGAGGAACAGGAGAGCAAGGAGTTTGCAATTTAAGGGGCTGCCTTGTTTGGGGTCTTACACAGATGAGGTCTTTGCCAAGAACAAGGTCACCCCAGGGGCCCTACACGACCCAACATGGGATTTTGCCAACGTGAAAGGAGTTCAGCAAGAAACACACCATAAAGAACCCACTATTTCACGACAAATTAATTCTAGTGAAACGGCGGGGCCAACACCTTTCACAACGTAGTGGCCTAGGTGGAAAGGCATTAGTCTTGAAGAAAGTGCCAGGCCTTGCCAGGGATGGGGGGAGGAGACACACTCCAAGGCTGGCCAGCCAGAATACGCCCATTTCCTTTATAGCTTCCCTGTGAAGTGGGCACAACATGCCAACTGACTTTAGCCATGATCAGCTTTGCCCTTGACGTCATCGTGTTCTCAAGGATCCTTCCTGCTCTGGAGTGACTGGGTTCAATGGGATCACAGGTTCGACTCGTAGGCGTGAGGGATGCCCAGGAATCTGTATTTGTAAAAGCTGTCTGGAAGGCTCTGGAACATAGCAGCAGGTAGAGGAACCATCACCAGGGCACTCCCTGGGCCCCAAAGGCCTAACGGTCTTCAGCAATTCCTTGCAGGGAGAAAAGGAAGCCCACAGAGCATCAGGAAAGCTTCATCAGGAACCTACGATTTCTATTTAGTTTGGATTTCTAATTCTTCTCTACATAACTGTTGGTTCCTAGAGAGAAAGTTGGCAGACGTGGGTCTCCCCGAGCACCTCATTTAACAGCTGTCTGGTGAAGAAGCAGAAAAACCACCTGGCGTGGGAATGAGGGAGGGTCTGAGGGGCTGCCAAGCCTCACCCCAAGTAACCCTCAGGCACCTGGGCACGATCCGTCCTGAGGACACACTTGGGGACCTGCCTTGCCCTCGAACATTAGCTAATACACAGACCCACAGACCCAGAAGCAGAATGAACCCCTTCCTGTTGAACACAACCAGGAAAGAACCCGGAACAACGCTGCAGCATCCCACGCAAAACGCAGTTGAGCAGGCAGGCCCTGGCTTGCGATGGGACGTCTGTCGTGGACACTGGAACTCGAAGGGAGAAGAAAGGGCAGAGTGTACCGCTGTGACCAGGCGGTGAGAGACTTCAAGGTCCTCTCACAGTGGGGGTGTTAAAGGAAGGAGCATTGAGCTTCGCTGCCCTGGAGGCTCCTGCCAGCTGCCTTCCTCCCCTGCCCGGGGCGAAACCAAACTGTGCCAAGCACGGGCCCTGTAGGACAAGAGTCCTGGCCCTGAATCTCCCAGACCAGGCACTGCTGGGGGAAGCGGTGCAGGGGATGACACCCTGGGCCACGAGGTTCTTGTCCACACAGCCCTCCCTACCCTCCACGGGAAGGCAGTGGCCCTGTGCTGGCAGAGGGGAGAGGGCTCTGTGTCCCAGGAAAGGACTATGGACAGGGACAGCAGCTGGTAACTGTCATCATGGCTTCGGAACAGCACTGGGAAGAAACACTGCTCTTTTCCTGCATGTCACCAAGCTCCTCCACAAATCCAACCTGCAGGTTTCACCTCCTGATACTGTTTTCTCTTCTCTCCCTCACTCTGAGGATTTGAAACAATATATACAACTTGGAAACATTTCTGTTTCTTACTCTACTCCCACCTGGAGGAGGCCTCAGAGATGAGGTGATTACGATTGCAGACTGACCAGGCAAGGAAATGTTCCTGTGCCAGGGAATTTTACTGAAATTGGGGAAAATGGGACTGTTCTATTTATTCATTTAGTGCCAGGCGCTCACTACGTTGCTCAGGCTGGAGTGCAGTGACGGGTCGCAGGTGCCATCATCATAGCGCACTGTGAACTCCTGGCCTCAGGCTCCCACGTAGCTGGAATTGCAGGCATGTACCACACTCCACCGGCAGGCACCTACCACTGCACCTGGCAAGAGACTATTTTAAAGTGAGCCCTAATGACAGTTGGGGATACGCTGCCAAAATAAATTCTGCAGTAGCTGCTCCAAAATACAGAGGTAAAAGGATTTGCCTTAAACAAGTCTCCTGTTAGCTGGAATGTCCAAGTCAGCAACGGATATGGAGCTCTAAGTCAATCAATCCTCAAAGCAAAATCATTCAAAA